GTTGGATCGAAGGACGAGGTTGACGCGGCGTTGGCCCGCTTCTCGTACAAGAGGAAGAACATGCAGAGCCAGATGCCAGAATCCAGCGAGGATGTGTGGCCTGCTCCCAGGACGAACTGCATCAAACGACTCGAGAAATGCCCTCCAATGGACAAGGTAGTCATGCTCACAAGCATGAGTCTCGAAGATGTGGCGACAGAGCACCCACGATTGGGCTAACAACAAGATCGACACATTGGTGGAACTGAGGCGCGAACCCAGAAGCCGAACCATCCAATGTTCGCGTCAATCTCGAGGAGGCCGCTCCGGCACCGCCACACCGCGAGCATGCCCATGAAAGGCGGCGCTCCCAGGAAAGCCCAATGCCGAGAATCTGCAGGAGACTGCAGGGCAGCAAGGGCGCCCTCGAGGGCGCGAAGTTCGAAGCGCTTCTCGCTTCGCGGTTCGGCTCCGATTCCTGCTTATCCTCCTCTGCTCCCCTGGGAGGCGGCGCGAGAGCGCGATGTTATTCGCACTTCGCGCTTCGCGCAGCGCGAAGCGCTAAGTTGGGAGCCCTTGGGCAGGGAAAGGTTGTTCTCATCAAGCGACAGGGTACTTCTCGCGCGGCTACGCCCGTTCCGAATGGCGGAGGTGTGTCAATAGAGGAATAACAAATGACATAAACATACAAACTCGGAGGTCCGCGCGAATTTCTCGTATCCGCGCTGGGGCCCCCCGGCGTCGCCTCCGGCGCCTCCGCGCGCCAGGGAGGGGGGTCCAGCGCCGATCCGAGAAATCCGCGCGTACCTCCGAGTTTTTAGGTTGATGCCACTTTTTTTGTTCCCCTAGTCAAGGGGCGCTCCCCAAGCGCCATTGGCACCGCGGGCTTCCAGACACACCGGTGGGTGCAGTCTGTGGAGGAGAGGGAACCCGCCTGGTACGGGGCCCATAGACCAGGCGAGTGCGACGAAACAGAGCGCGGCGGAGGAGAGCACCGCAGACGGACGGATCCTGAGAAGCTGGCCCGAGACCTTGGAGAAGAGAAGCTGATTGCCTCAGGTAAGAGCTTACCTCATGAACGCCCCGAGGCCCAGGAGAAGGCGGGAAAAGAAAGTGTCGGTAAGAGCTTCGCACCAGCCAGTTCTATAACCCCGAAGGGTGGAAAGTGAGGAAAAGGCGAGAAGGAGTGTTGGCACATCGCTGAGAGCAAAGTTTGTCCGCGCGGTGAAGGACTCTTTTTGCGTGCTTCCACCCCTTGTCACCCTTGAGAGTTGCACATCGTTGCGCGTGGGATCAGATCGGGAGTCGGTCGCATGTGCCGGTTTACGCGAAGGTTCGCGCCAGTAGGAGGTTCACGAAGCATAGCGTCCCATCGTTGCGGACGCTGTCCCCGCTATTCCCGTGGCCTACGTGGGGTTTCGCGATGGCGTGAGCGGCGCTAGTTAGACTTCAGCAAGCGACGCTTGTGCATTACCTGCCAGTGGGGAGCTTCGAGAGATCGGCCGATCGTTCCTTAGCCATCCGGAAACTTGCAAGGCAGCCTCCTGGAACTTTTCGAATTTCGCCCCAAAGCATATGGAAATTGCCTCAAGGCCCTCGGATGCCGTCGAGGCCTTCCGAAAGCCAGGGCTTGGGGCCTGGGACACGGGACGAGCCCTGCCAGGACTGGGGCAATGGTATAGTTGGCGCCGCCTTCTCTGGAAGCCTTGCGAGTGTCCTCCGAGCGCCGCCGGAGATCGCCTCGAGTGCCCTTCCCAAGCCGCTGAGATCTTGATTGTTTTCAATGCGGTGTCCTCGGAAATCCCGCCCCTTTCCCATGCTTTTTTTTTTTGTTTCATCTTGAGTGCAGAGGAAACCCATGCCAGGAGGCACCCTTCTCACCTCCGGGGTGCCCTGGGTTTCTATGGTGTCGATGGTTTTTCTATGGAAAGCGTGACGTTCCCACCAAAGATCAATGGACGTCCTTGGGTCTCACGGCTGGGCTTCTTGTGGTCGAGCTCCTACTGTAGGAGCAGTTTTTGACTGTCCCTGGGCCCAGCGAGGGTCGCCGGAGGCCGAAAAGCTGCAAGATCCTTCCGTCGTGTCTGTCATGACGCGAGGAGGATCGGGATCCCACAAAGGGTGTGTGTGCCCTGGTGTGTGTGTGTGTGTGTGTGTGAGGCCTTGACGTGAGGCCCCGCCTTCTTTTGCCCTCCCTCTCTAATTTATGCTGTGCGCGGCCCGCTTAGCATCTATCGGAAAAGGTGCGCTCTCGCCCCGCGAATCAAAAAAGTGTGTGAGCTCGATCTTTCGACATCCCCAGCTGCCAGCTGCTCCCGATAGGTGCCGACAGGTGGGGCATGCGGGGGGCCTTTGTTTGCGGCAGTCCGATGCACCAACGGATGGAACTCATGCCCCCCCGTTCAGGGTCGCCCCTGGGGGCGGCGCCGGAGGCGCCGCCAGGGGGCTCCAGCGAGAAATCCGCACAGATGTGGCATTGTTCGTTCCCCCAACCAGCGGATCGAACTCTTGCCCCCCTTACAAAGGGTTACCCCCCTCCTGCTGGATCCTGAGAGGAGCCCCTCCCGCGAGGCCTCCTCCCTGCCCGGCCCCCCTCTCCGCAGGCGTCCGTGCGCGGCCCGAGGCCCGACCTGGCCGTGCAGACGATCAGGACGCTGAGCGAGGAGGCGCAGCTGGCCATTATGCGGCTCTGCCAGCAGGACTCCTCCGCGGTGGCCACGTGCGAACCCAGACATGATCGCGCCGTGGAACAAATCGGGACGGCAAGGTTTTCGCTATTTTCGGCCTCTGGAGGCCCTCGCCGGGCCCCAGGACCGTCAAATAACGACTCAGAAGGAGAAACTGGTCCCGGGGAAGGGGTCGGGACGTCCGGAGACGCCGCACTGAAAACATCAGGGCGTCGCATGTCTGGGAACCCTACCCCCCCCACCCTTTCTAAGGGGGGGGTGGGGGGTTCACTTCGCTCGGGAGCTCCCAGGTGGAGTGAGCCCCCACCCCCCTCAGGAAGGGGGCGGGGGTAGGGTTCGCGTGTGGCCACCTATCTCACCGCCCACCAAACCACCCCAACCCAACCCGAAGGCCCCGATTTGCCCTCCATTTCCAGTGGGGGGGGGGGGGTCGGGGAACATAGGAAAAACACACATGACGCCCGTACCCCCCCCCAACCCGAAATTCGGGTCTTCGGGTTGGGTTGGGGTGGTCTGGTAGGTAGTCACTATCTCCCCCCTTTCCCTGGGGATGAGGGGCTCCCCAGGTGTTCCCAGACCTCCAGAGCGCGCCGAGGAGTACGATCCGTGTTCTTCCCCCTCGTCGGCCCAGGGCCCCCGGGGGCCCTCGCTGGGCTCCGGGGCCGTGGGACAAGGACTCGGGGTCAAAACTGGCCTTGGGGCAGGTTGCCAGCCTGGAACATATCCCTATCCCTATGCTGGGCACCTCCTCATCACGATGCCAATCTTAGGGATTCCCTTATTTTTTGAGGGCGAGTCCCTAAGATTGTCATCGCCTTTTGGCGTGTCAATCTTAGGGATAGGGATACGTTCGAGGCTGGTAAAAAACTGGCCTTGGGGCAGGGGTCGGAACGTTCGAAATTCCTGGGGAATTCCTATAGGGATCCTTCGGAATTCCTCCCCCCCACGGCAGGAGCTCGCTGCCGCCCGGCGGCCCGAGCGCGGCAACCGGCGCAACTTCTCGGGGGCGGCGCGGAGGGGGGGGGCGGTGAGGACTACCCAGACCCCCCCTGGTCTTGACAACACTGCCCAGACCCCCCCGGGCCACGAACAAAATCGCGACGGGAGGTGTTTCACCATTTTCGGCCTCGGGGGGCTCTCACCGGGCCTCTCGGGACCGTCCAGAAGCGACTCGGGACGAAACACCGGTCCCGGGGAATGGGTCCGGACCTCTGGGGGTCGCGTCATGAAAGAATCATGACGTCGGGGGTCTGGGTAGAGAGGGGGGGGTGGATCTCATGACGCGCGCCAATAGTTCCCCAGATTTCATGCCGCCTCGTCTCATTTTATTGCGTCCCTGGCTTCCCCGCTGGGCCGCCAGTCACGATTTGCACCCCCCCCCTCTGGGACACCCCCCTCTTGGCCGCTCCCGAACTTCCGGCGGCTGCAGACCACTGGCCACATCAGGGGAACGAAGAGCGACATCAGGACCGTTTGACCGATCCCTGTCCCCGTCCCCGTGCACATCTCGAGCCCCACCGTCTCACCACCTCAGTTGGGGATATGCCCCTCGCAACCCGAAGAGAGCAGCCTATATCCCTATCCATGGGGGGTACATCGGCCAGTGGGGCCCGGCCCACGCTGGTGGGGATGGGGGTCGGTTCAACGACGCGCGTGACATAAACATAAAACCTCGGAGGTCCGCGCGGATTTCTTGGATCGGCGCTGTACCCCCCTCCCTGGCGCGCGGAGCGCGCCAGGGGCGGCGCCGGAGGCGCCGCCAGGGGGGCCCAGCGCGGATCCGAGAAGTCCGCGCGGCCCTCCGAGTTTCTAGCTTTGTGCCGTTCTTCGCTCCCCCACACGTGGCGCCCGAGCGGCCCTCCCTCGCGGCGGCCCTGCCGGACGACGGCGCCGCCCGCGGCCGGGCCCGTGCGGGGTCCCTGGGCGGAGAGCCCTCGCACGAGGACCGGCGCCCCGAGGACGCCTCCCCCCGGGCGGGGCTCCGGCAGCGCCGCCAGCGGCTGCAGACGGCCCCGGCCGCGGGCCGGGCGCGCTCGCCGTCGGCTTCGCTGCCAGGCTCGCAGCAGAGCTCCCTGGGCATCTTCACCGGCGACGTGCGCAGGGACCTCGCCGTCGTGAGGGAGCACGTCCACGAGGTCAACGAGGATCGATGCAGAGCAATCAGAGGTAAGCAGTAGCAGGTCCGCGGGGAGTTTTTGGATCGCTGCCGGGCCCGCTGGCGGCGCCTCTGGCGCCACCCCGCGCGCGCGCTCCGAAGTCCGCGCGGACCTCCGAAAGTTGATGTTTGCGCAGGTGTTTCTTCTTCCGCAGGAGCTGCGAGAGGCGGAGGCCAGCATGGACGCCCACAAAAGCAAGCTGAGCCAGGTGATGCAGGACTTCGACGAGCAGGAGAGGCAGGCGCTCCACTGGAGGGACAGCATCGCTGCCCTGAGCAGGAGCCACGCGGAGGACGCCAGGAAGTGGCCAGACGAGCTGAAGACGCTGCACCAAGAGCTGCAGCAGCTGACGGCGACGTGCCGAAGTGCCCCGGACCTGACGTTCGAGATCGAGAGGCAGCAGCGCGCGCAGCACGGCGAGCACGAGCAGCTGAGGCAGGAGAGGCTGCGGCTCGAGCAGCAGCTTCGGGATGCCCAGAAGGTCACCCCGGGCCCCTGGCATCGCTCGGACGTGTGCATTTTGTTCTCGGCGAGGACCATCGAGGACCATCCTGGACCATCGAGCAACAAAAAACACGCACGAAGCCGACAAGCGCACGGGAAGTGGACGTCCGAGCGACGGCAAGGTCAAGACCAAGAACGACACCGGGCGCCTCAAGGCCGAGCTCGCCTTCGCCGAGGACTGCGAGAGCTCCGCCAAGAAGTCTCTGAGGGCCCGGGAGAAGGCCGAGTCGATGGAGCTGGACGAGGTCCGCTGGTTGTTGGAGCAGACCAGCGACGTCCAGTACGAGGCCGAGGCCAGATCGCGCGAGGTGCGCAGCCTGCACCGCAACCAGGTGTTCGAGGAGCAGAAGGCGCAGGACGCGGTCGCCCAGATGGAGTTCAAGGCCAACGAGCTGCGGCAGATGGAGAAGGAGCACTGCGCGCGCCTGCGCCGGAACTCCGTCGAGGACCTGCGTCTCAGCCTGCGCCGGGGTTCGGCCTCCGCACTGGCAGACGCGCAGGTCCGAGTCTGGGAAGCCGCCGAGAAGAGACGAAGACGTCGTAAGTAAAGCCTCGAAGCTCGAACCCGACTTTTCCGCTCGACGGCCAAGACGTTGAAGTAAGGTTATGATGTTTCAACCTATACTTGGGAACCCACTTTAGCCTGGATCACCAGGAAGAGTTTCGAGCACCATGAAAGTACCAGAATTGGAGGGTTTTCACGTGTCGGGCCCTGGGAGGCGATACTCTTTCGAAACTGTTTCGACTTTCTTCTGGGTGCTCGAAGTAATGTTCGGGATAAGGTCCTTAAGTGCGATGGGAGCATCATAAGAATGAGGAACAGTTTGGTTTCGGAAGGGGCCCGATGTTCCTTAAAGTCTCCCTGGGCTGTGTTCCTCTGGCCCTCCTCGTGCACCCAGGCGCTTCTGGGATCATGATGTACCAAATTACTTTAGCCTTGATCACCAGAAAGAATTTCGAGCACCGAGAAAGTTCCGAAACTTGAGGGTTTTCACGTGTCGGGCCCTTGGAGGCGATACTCGTTCGACGCTGTTTCGATACTTTTCTGGGTGCTCGAAATTATGTCTGTGATGTAGTCCTTACAAGTGCGATGGGTGCAACATAACTCTGGGGCCGAAGATGGGCTTAAATCCTGATCCAGTATGCAAAGAGGCTTGCGCCATTCTGCCGACCCCCGAAGGAGAAGACACGGCATACACGTCCAGTTTTGGCGCTCCTCGCGGATTTCTGGGATCCGCGCTGGGCCCCAGAATTCCGCGCGGAGCGCCAACAGTTTATATCTATAGCGTTTTTTTTTTCTGGGGTCGAATGGGGAGGCCTTCTGCGGCCTCCTTTGGGTGGCCGTCTGTGGTTGCTTCTTTTGCGGCCTCTTGGGGGCCTATTCGTGTCTCTCTCTGGGACCGGAGCGCTTCCTCTTCAGGAGCGAAAGAATCTAGGTCTCCCAGATACGGTCCGAACAGATGGGGTCGGAGGATCGCGCCGCATCGCCGATGCATCGGCGTTGCGGCCCGATGTGGAGCCCGATGTTCTGAACTCCGACGTGCATCGCCGATGCATCCCTGATGCATCGCCCATGCACTGGCAATGCGACGCGATGCTCCGACCCTGCCTACTCCGACCCGATCTATGAGGCCTCTAAAGAAGGACGTGCACGCACATGGATCCAAGTTGTCTTCGAAGGTACGCACTGCGCGAACGTTTGTGGCGCGAGGCAGTCCTCGCGGGCGGGGGGGCCGTATGCATGCACGTGGTTGGGCGCGTACGTCCTCTGTGGGCTCCCTGCCTCCATACCTTCCGCCCGGAGCACGAGAGACGGCCCGTGGCGCCAGAGAGTGCGACGGCTCCGCCCCGAACGCCCCGTCCTCGTCCTCCTCCTCCTCCTCCTGCTGCTCCTCCTCCCCCTCCTCCTCCTCCTCCTCCTCCTCCTCCTGCTCCTCCCCCTCCTCCTCCTCCTCCTCCTCCTCCTCCTCCTCCTCCTCCTCCTCCTCCTCCACCTCCTCCTCCTCCTCCTCCTCCTCCTCTTCCTCCTCCTCCTCCTTTTCTTCCTCCTTTTCCTCCTCCTCCTCCTCAACTGCGATAGAATGGCGGTGCCATCACCCCCCTCACACTGGTCTATCACAGTTTCAGGGCGCCGCCCTGGAACTGGCCCCGGCCCGCCCGGCGGGCCTCGGCCCGCCTGGCGGGTCGGGGCCCGTGCGAGGTCCACCTGCAGCGCCAACCGCTGTGGGAAGCTGCATCACTGATGCCACTCGGGTGCTAGTTTTTTTTTTTGTTTCTCCAATTTTTAGGTCAGTAGGCACATGCGATAGCACCACAGAGTTGCCTTGCCTTGCCTCCTCCTCCTCCTCGGCAGGGCCTGCAGATGCTGCACGGCGCCCCCGCCGATGACTCCGACGAGGAGGGCGGCGCGCAGGGGCAGCCGGACGGCGCCGCGCGCTCGGAGGATCGGAGGGCGCCGACCCTTCCAGGGCTCGTTTTTAAGTCGGGCCTGTCCCTCTACAGGAGGAATATTCAAATACGACCTTAGGCACTCCAGCACGACCTGAGGCGCCCCAGAAGCCGTCGAAGCTACCCTTTTTGAACCAGACCTTCTCGCCATCCTCGAGAGGAGGAGGAGGAGGAGGACGAGGAGAAGGAGGACGAGGAGGAGGAGGAGGAGGAGGAGGAGGAGGAGGAGGAGGAGGAGGAGGAGGGAGGAGGAGGAGGAGATTTTCCTCGATTCCCAGGTCCACTAGCCGTTTTCGGGCCCGGAGACCATCCAAAATGGGTCCGGGACAGAAGACTACCCTTAAGTCGGGCCTGTCCCTCTACAGGAGGAGTATTCAAAAATAGTTAAAACATAGTCTGGGGACGATTTTCTGACTATTGTCTGGCTATTTTGGAGTACTTTTCTGACTGTCTTCAATGTTTCGTCCAAGCTCTGCCTGTAGGGGGACAGGCCCGACCTAAGGCTCGTTTCGATTCCTCCGAATCGATTCGATTCGATTTCGATGCATTCCGATTCCGATTCGATTCGACTTCGGATTCCTATCAGGACTCGGATTTCTCGATGAGGCCTTACTGCTCTGCCGACTTCCGCCGATGTGACTCCTCCCGACCTGGCTGCCGATTTCCGCCGATCTGATTCACTCGGGTCGCCGATTCGACTCGTCGCTTTGATTCTGGGCTCTTCTGCCCTTTGCGTTAACTCGGGCGTGTCCCTCTACAGGAGGAAGGCTCAAAAATAGTCAAAATATAGCCAGGGGACGATGTTTGGAGTGCTTCTTTTGAATCTTGTTTTATGTTTGACCACTTCCATCTGTCTCCCAACTCCGCCTGTAGGAGGACACGCCCGACCTAACCTTTGCGCCCGCACCGACCACCGACCCCGGGCCCAGGCTTGGTGCACGTGTGCCTCCCGGGCCCAGGCCAGGAGGGCGTGCACGTGCGCCGCTCCTAGGCCCACCGAAGGCCCCAGCGGCAGGGATTGCACGCGTTCCCCCAGTTCGGCACACCCCTCACAAGGATCGTGGCCCCATGGGGAGCTCCACCGAAGGCCCCAGAGGCAGGGTTTGCATGCGCCTCCCCGCCCATGTCGGCACACCCCTCCCGAGGATCGTGGCCTCATAGGGAGCTCCACCGAAGGCCCCAGCGGCAGGGTTTGCATGCGCCCCCCCGCTCATTTTGGCACACCCCTCACGAGGATCGTGGCCCCATGGGGAGCTCCACCGAAGGCCCCAGCGGCAGGGTTTGCATGCGCCCCCCCGCCCAGTTCGGCACACCCCTCCTGAGGATTGTGGCCCCCTAGGGAGCTCCACCGAAGGCCCCAGCGGCAGGGTTTGCATTCGTCTCCCCGCCAATGTCGACACACCCCTCACGAGGATCGCGGCCCCGCAGGGAGCTCCACCAAAGGCCCCTGCGGCAGGGTTTGCATGCGTCCCCCAGCCGATTTCGGCACCCCTCACGAAGATCGTGGCCCCGCAGGGAGCTCCACAGAAAGCCTCAGCGGCAGGGTTTGCATGCGCCCCCCCGCCCTGTTCGGCACACCCTTCACGAGGGTCGTGGCCCCAAGGGGAGCTCCACCGAAGGCCCCAGCGGCCCCCCGCCCATGTCGGCACACCCCTCCCGAGGATCGTGCCCCCCGCTCATGTCGGCACACCCCTCCTGAGGATCGTGCCCCATCGGTAGCTCCACCGAAGGCCCCAGCGGCAGGGTTTGCATGCGTCCCCCCGCCCATGTCGGCACACCCCTCACGAGGATCGTGGCCCCATAGGGGGTTCCACCGAGAGCGGTACCCACAACGCGGTACTCACATCTGCATATGGTTGGGTTCTTCGACCGGATAATTCAAACCACCATTTTTCCATCAAAAATCCGCTTGTTGGGGGGACATGCCCGACCTAAGTGTGTGTGTGTGTGTGCACAGTGCTCTGTCTGTCTCTCTCTCTCTCTCTCTGACTCTCCGTGCTGCAGTCGAGGTGCAACAAGAAGGAGCGCCAAGCAGGGAGCGAGGCCCCTCCCTGGCCCCAGAAGCGCCCGGGTGCACGAGGAGGGCCAGAGGAGCAGCCCGGGGAGGACCCAATGGAGCATCGGGCCCCTTCCGAGCCCGAGCTGCTCCTCCTTGTTTCAGCGTCTCGGCTGCAGAGGAGGAGGAGGAGGAGGAGGAGGAGGATGATAATAATAATACCAACAACAATAATAAACATAATAATAAGAAGAACAATAATGATAACAATAATACTACTACTACTAATCATACGAATAATAATACTAATAATACTAATAATAATACTAATAATAATAATAAGAAGAAGAAGACGAATAATAAGAATAATAAGAAGAATAAGAAGAATAATAAAAAGAATAATAAGAAGAAGAAGAATAATAAGAAGAATACTATTGATAATAATAAGAATAATAATAATAATAAGAACAATAAGAATAAGAATAATAATAAGAAGAATACTAATAATAAGAAGAAGAAGACGAATAATAATAAGAAGAAAAATAAGAATAATAATAAGAAGAAGAAGAATAATAATAAGAAGAAGAAGAAGAAGAATAAGAAGAATAAGAATAATAATAAGAAGAAGAAGAAGAAGAAGGAGGAGGAGGAGGAGGAGGGAGGAGGGAGGAGGGAGGAGGAGGAGGGCGGTTGAGAGATGGGGCCCGAGGGACGGGGCCCCGAGGGTGGGAGGCGCGTCCTCAGCAAAAAGCACCCCTCGTGTGATGCCTTGGTCCTTGGGGCCCCCGTCAAGGCCGGCGCCCTCTGAGAAGCAGCCTCCTTCTGAGAAGCCTTACAGTTGGGGCTCTGAAGAGGAAACTCACCACCCACCAAACCACCCCAACCCAACCCGAAGGGTCAGATTTACCCTCGATTTCTAGTGGGGGGGGGGTCCAGGAACATCGAAAAAACACCCATGGAGCCCATACCCCCCCCAACCCGAAATTCGGGTCTTCGGGTTGGGTTGGGGTGGTCTGGTAGGTAGTCAGAAACCCTTTGCGTTGGGGAGGGTCTCCGTGTTCCTTGGTTGCTGCACAGCCTGCCTCGGGTTGTCCTGAGGTTTTTTCCATGGGACATCGAAGTTTGAGTCATGGGAAGGAGGGGCCTCGTTCCTGATTCAGGGTTCCTTAGGTCAACGCCCCGACGGTACCCCCTCCCCCTACCACCTTGTGCACCCGCCAACTCAGGGCCCCATCTTCCTCGGACCGACGAAGACTTTGTGCAGAAACATAGACTTTGGGAGCTCCGCGCGAACTCCTTGGACCGGCGCTGCACCCCCCCCGCCTCGCGCGTGGAGCGCGCCGGGGGCGGCGCCGGAAGCGCCGCCAGGGGGGCCCAGCTCCGATCCGAGAGATCCGCGGAGAGCTCCGAAACACTGTGTGTCTTTCAACCGCCCTTCACCTCCTTCTCCTCCTCCTCATCCTCATCCTCATCCTCATCCTCCCCCTCCTCCCCCTCCTGCTCCCTCCTCCTGCCTCCTCCTCCCTCCTCCCTTCTCCTCCTCCTTCTATTGTTTGCCCTCCTCACATAGGAGGCGCGCCGGCGCGAGGCGTACCACGAGCTGAAGCGCGCCTCCTCGGGCTTCCGGGCCGCCCAGGCGGCGCAGCTCGAGGCCGTGCGGCAGGCGCAGCAGCTGGAGGCGCAGCTGGCGGCGCTGCCGCAGGAGGAGCAGCGGCGGCAGGAGGAGGCGGAGCAGCGGCGCGAGGAGATCGGACGTCACTCCGCATCGTCGGGGGGCCTGCCCTGTCCTGTAACTTGGCATCGCTCGGGCGTGTGCATTTTCATTTCGGCGAGGGCCATCGAGGGATCACGCACGAAGCCGAGAAATGCACGGGGAAGGGACGACCGAGCGACGGCAGGATATACGGCAGTCTTTTTTAGTATCTCGACGTGGGTTCAGCGCGGGTTCGGCGCGGACTCGATGTGCATCCGACACGGGTTCGGCGCGGATTCGACACGGATTCGATACGGATTCGACGCGGGTCGCGGCGCGACGGGACAGACAAGGTCTCTTGAACATGCAACACAACGGACAAGGGAATCTTTAGATTTTGGCGTTGCTTTCTGTTGATTCTGCGCGTCTTCTCCCAGTTTCGGGTTCCGGGACCCTCACAGATCGGTCCAGCTGGAGAATGCCTCAGAGAGATGGGGTCTGGGGCTTTCATGTGTGTTTCTGTTCGCGATGTTTTTTTGTTCGCGGCGTCGGATCTCAGGGAAGGTGCCCCTGCCGCTACAGTCAAAACCCTAGTAAGGACGCGCGACTTTTCTCAGGCTACCCTTGCGTCCTTGCTCAGGGTACCCTTGCGTCCTTGGGGTTTTCGTCGTCCGCCGCCCCGAAAATCCCAACTTCGGCTTCCAAGGGTCTCGCGTCCTTACCGCGCGTCCTTATTAGGGTTTTTGACTGTACCCCACGCCCGTTTTTGCTTGTTGGGCCTCTCCTGGGGTGCGCTCGTCGCCACGGATGGCGTCCGCCCCGAGATGCGGGTCGGAGCGCGCCCTTGGAGAGGACTCGGGGGTGGACAGACCTCCTACCCTGACACGTCGATTACCTGGCGTCGCTCGAACGTGTGCATTTTTTCTCGGCGAGGACACTGGAGGAGCATCCTGGATCATCGAGCAACAAAGAACATGCACAACACCGAAAAATTCACGGGTCGAAAGCGCACCTCTTCCGGTCGAAGCCAAGCGGGCCGTGCGAAGTTTGAATTAACAAAAAGGGGGGAAGGGAATGAGCGCAACCTCATGGCGAGGCCGGGAGGAGGCGAAGCCTCCTTCCCTGACACGTCGATGAGAGAATTGGCCGGTTTCGGTTTGCGAGAGGGCGTCGCGGCCCGTCGTTTTTGCGGGTCCATGTCCGTCGGTCTCGGCCCCAGGCCGTTTTCACGAAAGGGTGGCTTGCTGAAGGGAGGTCTGTCCACCGCCTAAGGTCCGGGGCAGTAGCAGTGTGGAGGTCTGTTGGCCTTCGCCGCAGGAGAGGGACGAGGAGCTGCAGCGCCAGCGCGCGTCCCAGGCCGGAAGAGGGGGGAGGATGACACTGAGCACAGACAGGACGCTCCTCCTCCTCCTCCTCCTCCTCCTCCTCCTCCTCCTCCTCCTCCTCCTCCCCCTCCTGCCCCTCCTCCTCCTCCTCCTCCTCCTCCTCCTCCTCCCCTTCTCCTCCTCCTCCTCCTCCCCCTCCTCCTCCTCCTCCTCCTCCTCCTCCTCCTCCTCCTCCTCCTCCTCCTCCCCCGAAATAATGTTACCAACCGCCGCAGCGCGCAGCTTGGTGGGCATTCTTCGGTGTAGGTTCTCGAGCGACAGGCGTTCAACAAATTGTTTGCGCCTCGCGTATCCCCACCAGCGGCCTATGTGCCTTCGTTGCCAATCGTCTCGCGTTGCGCCCCTGTCGAGATTGACCCGCTCCCTGGATCTGTCCTTGGAGCCGCAGATCAAAAAAGTATCCCCACCAGCCACTCCAGACACGATGCCCAGGGGAATTGAGGTAATCAGGGAAGTGGGGGAGCATGCAGAAACACGAAGGGCGGGGAAAGCAATACGATTGCGAAGGCCTTACGGCCGGTGCCGCCGACCCTGAATGGCGACGACGACGACGACGACGACGACGACGAGCGCTCTTGGGGGCCTCTTGGGGGTAGTTTGTTGGGAAGCTCTCAGGGACCGCTTGGAAGCCTCGTGGGGGCCTCTTGGGGCTTCCTGGGGGTCTCTTGGAGGGGGCCTGGGACGTCTTGGAGGCTTCCTGGACGGTCTTGGGGCTATCGTGTGCGTTTTCGGCCGATCTGTGGGCGACTCGGGGCCCTCCTGGGCCGTCTCGGGGGCCATTCTGGGCATTCGGACCTCATTTGGAGTGTTTTCGAGGCGTCGAGGCCGCCCGAGGGAAAACGAATCTGCTCCCCCCCCCCCACCCCCCCCCCCCGCGACCCCTCTCCCCCCCCCCCGGGACCCCCCCCCCCCGGGGAAGGGATCGAAGGGAAGGAGCTTCCCTTCGACTCCATTACGACACTGCTAGATTTTTCTCTCGCTCACGAGCTTGAGAAGGAAGCTGTAGGGAAATGGGGCGACGGAGGCGACGACCGACGGAGACGACGACTCGAACAGCCAAGCCCCTCGCACACGCCGACAGGGTCGGCGGATTTCTGCGTGTCACCCGCAGTTCACATTCGCCCAGCTGAAGCGGATGATCATCTAGCTACTTGGGCGCATGCTGGTTTCAAACCAGTGTTGGCGCCAAGCAGAGACAGTGAGAAGAGTGACAGACCGGGGGGTATTGCAGCAGGCTGCAAGAAGATTTGGCACGAGATTCACAGCTCTTGGGCTCCGTGAATTGGACAAGTCACAGAAGGTAGTCAACAGGGGGGAGGAGTAGGGAGGAGGGGGGAGGATGGGGAGGATGAGGAGGATGATGATGATGATGATGATGATGAGGAGGAGGAGGAGGAGGAGGAGGAGGAGGAGGAGGAGGAGGATGAGGAGGAGGAGGAGGAGGAGGAGGAGAGGAGGAGGAGGAGGAGGGAGGAGGAGAGGAGGAGGAGGAGGGAGGAGGAGCGAGGAAGGAGGAGGTGGAGGAGGAGGAGGAGGAGGAGGAGGGAGGAGGAGGAGGAGGAGGAGGGAGGAGGAGGGAGGAGAGGGGGAGGAGGGAGGAGGGAGGAGGGAGGAGGGAGGAGCAGGAGAGCAGGGAGCAGGGAGGGGGGGAGGAGGAGGAGGAGGAGGGGATAGGGGAGAGGGGAGAGGGGAGAGGGGGGAGGAGGGAGGGAGGGAGGAGGAGGAGGGAGGGGGGAGGAGGGAGGGGGGCTGGTGGTGGAGGAGGAGGAGGAGGACCAGTGTAAAACCAAGAGCCGTCAAAGATGTTGGAATTAACCCTTCCTCCAAGCTCCATCTTCATAGGCCCCACAACGGTTCATTTCCATTGAGGGAACTGCGTCGTTGGAAGACAACCGTTTGAAGATCTTGAAGCATGCCAAAACATTGTTTGCGGAATTGCAACGCCACGTATCAACCGGAATTATGTTAGAGCGCCATGCTTGGGACCTCAACACCGCGAACCAACATAATTGTTGCACCCGCATAGTCCTGAAACCTTCAAGCCACTCTTTCTGGTACGTTAATCATGGGAGCCCGTGAAACTCTTGCAATTGCTTAAAGGAATGTGCGCGGCGCTAAGGCAATAATCACATGCTGAAAGGGAACCGCCATCAATACGTGAAGCTCCTTGCACATCTTTTCAACGAGTTTGCGCGGCGCTGAGGCGAGAGTCACATTTTGAAAACGACCCGTCCTCAATCCGTGAAGCTCTAGCAATATAATGTGTTTCTATGAAAAACGAATGTGCGCTGCGCTAAGGCGAGGGCCACATTTTGAAAGCGACCTGCCATCACTGTGTGAACCTGTTGCCACGTTTTATGCTTCAGGGTCATAAATGGTGAGGAAGTCTCAGGCGAAACGCCTGGTCCGCCCGAAAAACTGGCCTCGGGGTGCGACAGGGAGGAGGTATCTATATGGAGAAGGAATGGATGAGGAACAGAGGAGGAATAGGAGAGGGGAAAAGGGGGAGGGGGAGGAGGAGGAAACGGAGGGGGAGGAGGAGGAGAAGGAGGCAGAGGAGGAGGAGGAGAAAGAGGAAGAGGAGGAAGAGTGAGTAATGAGGATGGAGGAGGGAGGAGGGAGTAGGCAGGATGGAAGAGGGAGGATGTGAGAGGAGGGAGAAGGGACGAGGGGGGAGGGAGGATGGGGGAGGACGGAGGAGGAGAAGGGAGGAGGAGGTGGAGGAGGAGGAGGACCTTCGAGCCCCCCCCCCCAGACCGTCCTGCAGAGTTCCCTTGGGAGTTTTGGCGGTCTCAGGGGAGCCCCAGGAGGACCCCAAGTTCAACACAACTCTAGCACAAGTCCTTTCCTCGCCAGGGACGGCGTTGTTTTCAATGTGTGCAAAATTGTTGGGTCTCTTGGTCCGCTCTTGGAGCTCTCTCGGCGCCCCCTCGAGCATTCCCAGGCCGTCCTGTAAAGCTCTGTTGGGAACTGTGGGGGTCTCAGGAGGGCCCCAATCATCCACAGTGTTGACACAGACTGCAGCCTCGTCAGGGACGGTGTTGTGTTAACCTTGTTTTAAAAGTGTTGGATCTCTTGGTCCGCTCTCGGGGCTCATGTGGCGCCCCTTAGAGCCCTCTGAGACCGTCCTGTAGAGCTCTCTTGGGAGCTTCGGGGGGTCTCAGGAGAGCTCCAGGAGGGCCCCAAGTTTGATACATGCTAGACGATCCGTTTTCTTGTCAGGGACGGCGTGGTGTTCAATGTGTGATAGAATTGGTGGGTCCTTTGTTGCGTTCTTGGTTCATCCGTCGCGCCCCTTCGAGCCCTCCCAGGCCATCCTCTAGAGCTTCAGAGCTCTCTTGAGGGCCTTTCGGGGACTCAGGAGAGTCCCAGGAGGGCCCTAAATTTAGCACCAATGTGCCACAGACCGCATCCTCGTCTAGGACAGCGTTGTGCTAAATTTGTGTTGAACTTATTGGGTCGCTTGGGGCGTTTGTGGAGCGCCCCTGGCGCCCTTCGAGCCTTCCCAGACCTTCCTCTGGAGCTTTCTTTGGGGCCTTTCGGGGTCTTAGGAGAGCCCCAGGAGGACCCCATTTAACACACATTTGACATACACCGCTTCCTGGTCAGGGGCGGCGTTGTGTTAAAGTTGTTTTCAAGTGTTGGGTTTCTTGGGGCGCTCCCGGAGCTCTTTCGGAGCCCCTTCGAGCCTTCACAGGTCATCTTGGAGAGCTCTCCTGGGAGCCTGTGGGGGTCTCAGGAGAGCCCCAAGCTGGCCAAAACTTTAACACACATGTGCCACAGCACCGTTCCTGACGAGGCAGTGGCTTGCGTCAATTCTGTGTCAAAGTCGCTGCCCTTTTGGGGCCGTCCCGGAGCCCGCCCGAGGTCCCAAGACCGGCCCTCGAGGCCGCGACGGACCTTCGAACTTCAAGACAAGTGTAAGACGCGTTGTTGTTTGTAGAGAACGGGCGTGTGTGTCAAAACGTGTTCCATTTTTGTGTCTCTCGGGGCGTTCCCCGAGCTGCCTTGGGGCCCCTTCAAGCCCTCCCAGGCCGTCTTGGACACACGTAAGACGGATCGCAGCATGCGCCCAGAGTTTCTCCAGGAACATCCAAGCGACGTTTCCAGAAACCTCTCAGGGAACATTTACATCGATGTCCTGGATCTTGGAAGATTGTTCTATGTACGTCCGAACGGATGTTCCGAATGTCACACCGTAGGAACAAGAGCAGGAAGAGGGGTGTTGAGGACAATGCGGCGGACGACCCCCGACGGTCCCCAGAAATCTCAGGTTGTCTCACGAGTTTGGAACGGGAGGCCACGGAAGGGCCAGCCACGTCCAAACCTGCACAAAACATGCAGAGTCGACGACGAAACAGACGACGACGCCGGCCGCGGATGTAGCGGCGGTGGCGGCGGACAGAGTCCGCACGCTAGACGATCGGTGGCGGGAGCACCAGGCCCTGGGTAACCGCAGCGACGAAAGCGACCCCGCGGGGCCCAAGAAGGCCAAATATATTTCACAAACTTCGATCGTCGACCCTAGGTCCCTCATTCCACCTCATCGATCAGAGACGACGGCGACAACGACGACGGCGCCCACAACGACGACCACGGCGACGACAATCGATCGACGACGGCCTCCAGCTTCCACGCGTTTCCAGAGTCCGGACGCTTCCGGGGGCCCCAGAAACATACCGAACGCTCAAAACGTCTCACGTCCACAGACGACCACCACCACCACGACCACTACGAGGATCGTTAGCCATGCTCAGAGGGGGGAGGGGGGAGGGGGAGGGCTTCTTAGAAACACCCCTGCTTCTTAGAAGGCCCGGGCCTTCTCTATAGATGCGAGGCTGGCGCCTTCTAAGAAGCAGCCTCCTTCTAAGAAGCCCTCCCCCCTCCCTCCACCCCCTTCTGCGCGCAGCCAAGATCGCCTCTACGATCATCACGGCGGCTGCGGCCGCGGTTGCGGCGGCGGCCGCGGGGGCGGCGGCGGCGGCTGCGGCGTCTTGGCGGCTTGGCGGCAGGGCGGCCTGGAGCCTGGAACCGCTGGGCCCCCCCTCGGCCACCGTGGCAGTCACGTCACGTGCGCACTTCTGGGAAACATTCGGAACCTGCTGACGCGTCGCACGTCGATCTCGCACGGCTCCGCGACCGCCCACAGACCTCGAAACCGTCCCCCACGGAAGCCAGCAATTTCATGAGTCAAGAACTGCCCTTGCTTGGGGGAACCCTCCTTCTGGTACTTTGGGGTTCGTGGACTCGCGCAAGGTCCATTGACAACGATTGCGCAGCAGGCTAGCACCTAAGCGCGCGCTTAGCGCGCATGGACATGTACATGCGCGCTGTTCCCACCACGTGCTGTCGGAGGTCCGCGCCGACCTCTTGCGACCGGCCGTCAGGCCGGGGAATTTTCAGAGCACCCGCCACGGTGGGCAAGCCGTGCTGCCTGGGCCCACCCGCTCCGCTAGGGTGTACAGAGTGGTCAGTGGCACCTCCTGGTCTGAGGTGAGCGTTGCCAGTGACGTTCGCGGAGGCAACGCCCCCCCACCATCCCGCTGCCGCGCAATCCCTTGTGCTGGCCGGGGTCGTGGGGGCCCTCCCCTCCCCCACCCTAATTCGGTGCAGGTGGCCTGTCCTGGGCACGGCGCGTCGGCGCCCGCTCGCTCGGTCAGCGCCCGCCGGACAAAAAAAAAACAACTCCTGCGACCGGGCCGCGCCTCTGGCGCCGCCCCTGGCGCCAGCGCCTGCCCAAAATGTCCGCGCGGGCCTCCAGATTTCTATTTACCTTGTTCTTCAGACGAGAAGCAGAGACCGCAGCCACCGAGAACCCATCGGGGGGGTCGCCCCCTTCCCCCCCTCCGCCCTCCACCGATGGGTTCTCGGTGGCGGTGGCATGTATTTGTCCGCGGAGATCCCGTGCTTGGATCTTGTTGAAAACTGGATCCTTGGAAGTTCCGACCTTTTTTTTTCGGGGCAGTTTTTTTGTATTTGGCCGTTTTTTGGCGGCCCCTTGGCCCGGCGAGGGGCTCCAGGAAACTGCAAATCATGAAACATGTCCGTTTTGATTCTAATGCGTTGGAGGTTTGGGACAATGGATTATCACTGGCAGTTGTTTTCGCTCGTCCTTTGGTGACCCCTGCCGCTGCCGCCGCCGCCGTCGCCGCCGCCCCCGTCGTCGTCGTCGTCGTCGTCGTCGTCGTCGTCGTCGTCGTCGTCGTCGTCGTCGTCGTCGTCGTCGTCGTCGTCGTCTTCGCCGAGGGCGTCGTCGTCGTGGTCGTGGTCGCCGTCGTCGTCGCCGCCGCCGCCGTTTTTGCGCCTCTCCTGCCTCCTCGTGCCCGCCAGGCCCGCGCGCGGCAGCGGGCCGCGGAGGCGGAGGCGGGTTCCCTAGAGGCCCGCGTGCGGCTGGAGCGGCAGGAGTGCGGGCTGCTGCTGCGGCGGGCCGAGGGCGCGCGGGCGGAGGCGGAGGACCAGGGCCAACGCCAGGGGGGACAGATTCAGATAGGGGACCACATGCGAACCCTGGCCCTACCCCCACGATTTCTGAGGGGGAGGGTGGGGTTCCCTTCGTTCGGGAACTCCAGAGCGAAGTGACCCCCCCCCTCAGAAATCGTGGGGGGGAGGGGTAGGGTTCGCATGTGGTCCCCTGTCAGAGGGAGCGCATCGATTCCCCCAGCTTTGGATGGTGAGTCACGGAAGCTCCCGCTCGATGTTGACCGAGTGTGTCTCGGAGAAGAGTTCCAAGTGGCGCCCAGCAGCGCCCTGCATTACCGAATCGCGTTCAAGCAGTCCTCGATATCGCCCAATAGCACCATGCGAGGGCGATGCAGTATGTCTGCCTTGCGCGCGATTGGGCGCGTGATTGGGCGCCGTGGACGCATCGGCGATGTACCGCCGATTCCGCTGTCGGCGCCTCCTCCCGCTGAGCCGTCAATTGAGCGACGCCCAAAAGAAAGGGGCCGTCTGCGCCGACATTGGCGCGTAGGCTGCCCGCGTGAGCTCGCGCGGCAGCGCCCCCGTCTCCAATATGGCGTGCCGCGCTCGCGGCCCGCGTAAGCCACCGCGCAAGGCCGCTGTGCAATCTCGCGTAACACCCGTTTTGTGATCGTTCGTCGCCCAATTGGTCAAAGGAAGAGCCACCCGCACCCCGACAACTGGCGTTCACTAAACTGCCCTGGGCGTTTACGAAACAGCCTTGCCCTGCTCGATTCCTTCTGTGGCTGCGTCTGCTGCACGGCCTCGCCCGTCGGGGTGATCGTTCTGGGGGAGGGTTTTCTGCCCTCCTAGTTTTCGGCATCGTTCGGACTTGTGCATTTTTCTTTCGGCGAGGACCATCGAGGAGTATCCTTGATAATTTGGCGAAAAAACCACGCGCGAAACCGAAAAAACACAGGGAATGGACGTCCGAGCGATGGCCAGAGTTGGGCCCCGAGACGCCACCCCGACCAGGCTCGTGCGGATCTGTTGTGCGCCCCCCCCCCTCCGGCGTTCCCCCCTCGAGAGGAGAGGGCGGCCGGCGAGCGGCGCGCCGTGCGCTTCCTCGAGGAGGAGACCTTGTGCCTGGAGGGCGAACGGCCGGCACACGCACACAGCACATGTCGGGTATAGCCAGGACCCCCAGTAAGGGGACCCAGTTACACGCCGGTCGTTGAAAGTAGGTATTTTTGGATTCACAGATGCCAGTCTTTTTCAAGCGCCTTCCTATTTCAAGAATCGGCACGCTTTTGCTGTGTTTTGTTATTCCCTGGGGGGGCCTGGACCCAATCAACTTAATCAGCCTTCCTACTTCATGTTTTTGCCTACTTCTTCCGACCGACGTGTAGTAGTAGGGCCTCGGAGCCTTTGCATTGGCCAGAATCGCTAAACCTGGTCTGCCGCAGCTGGTGTTTTTCCGGGTGACGGCAGTTCCGGTTCGTGGAACGGGCCCTGGAGGGCGCCCCCGAGTCCACATCACGAAACCAGGTCCCACTAAACCCAGTTCTGCCAACTCCCGAACATGGCGGAAAGCACACTCGAGCAGTGGCGAAGCGCCCTGGCGTGCCTACAGGCCCACCAAGCAACATTCTAAGAACCTTTTGTGGTTTCTACGAGACGTTCTTGGACCATGTCTGTCTGGGGCAGTCTTGTTTTAGTAGCAGTACACTGGGTTCATGTTCTAAGATCATCGTTTTGGGATACTGCGAACATTTCGTGGTAGGCCTATAGGACTGCCGGGACGGTCGTTCCCTGCTAAACACACGCACGCGCGCTCATTTTTTTTCGTCGGCGGCTAGGCAGAGGGACTGCTCTGGCGATGTGGCATCAATGGGGCACGCATCAGTGGGACACGCAGTGCACGGGAGGAGGAGAGATCAGGAAGCCCGGCGCGGCACGCACAAACACGCACGCACGCACACAAACACGCACGCACGCACGCACGCACGCACGCACGCACGCCACGCAACACCCGGTCCCAGGGCGCGCGTGCGACAACAAAAATCCGAGCCACTGGAAGGTGGCGGGCAGTCCGCCACCGAAGAGAGTCCCGACCAGCCACTGTTCGGCAAGAGCAGCCATTACCCCGAAGGTACGGTTGGTTCGCGTCGTGTCGCCTGGCGGTGACTCCGCCAGCAGCGTTCAACGCTGAACGCCGCGGGCGATCCAGAATCGTTCGATGTGGAACGAGTTGGACATTTCGGAAACGGCCGATCGTTCAAGGTTGAACGATCCCCGCGGTGTCAGAAACCAACGCCGAAGTCGGCACGACACAAACCCGACGTACTAACTGCACCTGGCCCGAGTGCCAAGCCCGCAAGCACGTCTCGGCCACACCCCTGGCCTGGTCCTGCTGGGGAAGCCCCGTCTTGGAAGCTGGGAGCGCTACACGAGAGAAGGGAGGGGAGCAGAGCGCAGAGGAAGTACTCACCAAGCCAGCGACCAATCATGGAGAGAATCATGGTTCCGATCGAGGCGCTGAAGCTATCACACATCTGCGTGAACCAGACGCTCAAGTTAAGTGTGAATCTGGCCAACGTTGCAGCACAGCAGAGGCACAGGATGTCAGCAAGACAGCCGAGGAAGTTGGCAGGAGGACAGAAGAGGAATAACATGCATGCACAAGAGACGTACCCTGCTCACACAAACCTGCGGTGCCTGGTTCTTGAGCTTGATAAGGGACCTGAACTGGTGGAATGACTGCCACGTGTTCAGCGTTGGTAGATGCGAATGCCGACACTCCTCCGATTGAGGCCGCCACGGGAGCCTCCTGCCTCGCCGTGTCAACCCATTCCTTTTCGCTATCCAGGAAACGATACAGCACATGACCAATCCCCGGGATGTCGGTGTCGCGTTACTCGCTGGAGGCCCCGAGGTTCTCGAGCTTCTTGTTCCGCTGCCCCCGGCTTCTCTTTTTGTTTACCTCTGTCCAACAAGCTACAAACGTCAGGCCCTCAGAAGGGCTCTGCTATGCCCAGTTGGCGACGTCCTCGCGCGCCTTGGATATGCCAATGAAGCTGAGGGCAATCTCATGCTGGGACAAAGTCATCATCGGCTTGAACATCGAACACAGGTACGTTGGCAGCGCTCGGTACAACTTCAGGCGGTGCCGTCGAAGGGAGACCTTTGCCGATGGCTTTGTGTGGGGTGTCCCACCCGGCCCTGCCTTTGCCACCACCAGCTCCAAGGGTCCCTTAAAGTTGTTGTCGCATGGCGAAGACATCGACAGACGTTGACGATGTAGCATTTCGAATATCATTGAGCTGATTGGAATGACCGCTGATATCCTCGCGCATGCTGGCCATATCCTGTTTCATACGTTTGATCATGGGGTTGGTTATGACCGAGCGACTCACTGTTCCCAGTCTCAAGCCCAGCCGCATCATGGAGCACCTTGATGGTCGTTTGCAGCTTGCTCTCAGCCCCTTGCGCGCCACACAGAACGTCAGTCAAAGAGATGGCCAAGTCCCTGGCTGGTTGGCTCTCGGTCTGCATGCCAGCAGCACGCACATGGTGATGATCATGGGCGCCACCGTGGAGAGCGGCATTGGCTGCCTGGTTATCCGCATTGGCAATGATGGAGCTGATGCGGCCTATCTCACTGGAGGCCCGACGACTGTCAACCATTCCGTTCCACTGCCCAAGCATGCCACCGAAGCCCATGTTGGAGCAACTGTAGTCGCCGCAACCCTTTCCACCTTTGGACCACTGCTGGTAGCCCCTGTTCCTGTGCTGGGTCGGCGGCCCATGGCGTCAGGAACGCGTGTGCAGGAAGTTGATTGCTGGTGTCGGTCGCGAAGAAGAGTGTACGCTCTATTCAGCTGAGAAGAAGCGACTATGGTTGTAGGGACAAGATGTTGGCAGGTTTTTTCAACGAGGTCGAGACACATGTGAACTAGCTCCTGACGTTCACCCACTTGGTACATATTGTGTCATACTCTGCGTACGAGTTGAACAGGATGATCCATGCGATACATAAAAGGCTGAGTCAATCGAGATAGCGATGATGAAATCGATGCTGTCGGGTTGTACTCTTTTCCAGTTGTGTAGACGTCTTTGAAGTTCTGAGCGTAGCTGTCTTAGGTCCCGTCGGCTAAAATAAGCCAAGACAGTGTACCATACTCTGCTTTCTCATTGTGATGATATCGCCGCTGAGGACGTCCTTCTCGAGACTATGCTGCGGTAATTATTTGATGCCACCTGAGCAACATAACATGATTTAATCGCTTCGCTCATTCCGCCGGCCCTCGAGCGCTCTGTGGGGCCTCTTTGAAGCCTCTTGGGGGCCTCTTTGGGGCCTCCTAGGGGCCTCTTGGGGGCCTCTTGGGGGTCTCTTGGGGCTCCTTGGCGGGGCGTCTTGGGGCCCCCTTGGGCCTCTTGGGGGGCTCTTGGAGGGCCTCTTGGGGCGGGGTAGTCAAGTGAACCCCCCTCGGAGGCCACGATCCTCGTGAGGGGTGTCGAAAAAAGGCCCTCAAAACCATCTCTGGGTAGACTTAGTCGGGCTGCGGTCGGGATACTTTTCGCCGGGGGACCCCCAGGGGCCGCCCCGCGCGCGAACTAGAAATATTGTTAACCAGTTACCGGAGATCTTAGCACGCCTCTGGCCCGTTGGGCTGGCGAATTTCCATGCTGCTGGACATCATGATCCAGAGCAAGCGTTACCGTAGCCTTATGCACAAGATACACCTGTCGTGTCAATTATGTACGGCACACGATGTGAGAGAAAGACTTCTTGTGTCGTCCACGTACCTACCTGCAGCAAACTCAAGACGTCGAGTTATAGTTGTAGGAAGTGGGGTACGGCTTGGATCAAAAATGCACTTGATATATGACGAGGCCAAGTGCAAGATAGCCCTGGGCCCCAGACAGTGGAGAGCTGAACAAGTGCATCGCCCGCCTCTTGAGGCTCCGGAAGATGAAAACAGTGCGGCCCCAGTGCCGAACCCCGATGTTGCCGACAAGCACGACTTGATAACGCGAGGTGTGGAGTACAGCATGGTATGTGCGTGGGTGTGTGCGCGTTCAAGTCACGACATGTGTGGGCAAAGGGGTGATCAGTTACTGTTCTGATCGCTGCTGGCACGAGTGCCCCATGCGCCTGGCCCAGTATCTGAGACCGTCAAGCCTGGATACTCCATGTATCGCCGACCGCGAACCCACACTGCCTGACCAGGTTTATATGTTCGCCAAGGAGGAGCAAGGATACACGTGGACGCATGCAAAACCTCAAAAGCTGCCTCGAGTCTTTTAACATCGCACCCAGAGAAGATGCCGCTAGTGAGGTTGATCATGCCATATTCTGATCTACCATTCGCCGCCTTTTCATTTAGCTCCATTTAGTTCCAGGACATCAGTAGGGGAGATGTTGCATACTGATGGCTCGTTGTTCAGGGGGTCGGAGACTCTTAGGTACACTTAACTTACACGTGCTCCCATACCATCGTAATATTCGCGACGGTGGTAGTATGTCGAGGCGCCATCCTGCTTTCCGCGCTAGCGAGCAAGCCAAGCCAGCCCACTTGCATATGTCGTGTAATGGTAGCCCACGTCGCGCTAGGATCTTTGTCCTCAACCGTGACAGGCATGGAACTCTGAACCTCCTCCAAGGTCTGGCAGCCACGGGCGAGAGAGCATGAGTCTGTGGCGTAGACGGGTGTGGGTCTTCAACAGCACGCGAGGTCATAATTGCGAGCACCTGAAGAACAATGTCGTCAATCGCGGATCTAGAAAGCCGCGGCGCACGAATACAGAAATGGTCCTTGTCGGTTTCGCCCCTCCAAGCAGGGAACCGTGGGAGTTGACCACAAGAATACGGAACAAGTCAACATCGAGACGCATTGTTTTTGAATGGCAGTCGTGGCCGCCAAAGTAATTCGGAGTTGCCGTTTTGCAAGCACTGTCCAAGTTGGCTTGGGAAACGATGCGTGCTGCAAATCTACGCCCAACCACCGTCGACGTGTCAGCATATCTCACTCCTTAGACAGAGTGGCAGTACAGCTTGCATGACGAGGAAGAGCGATACTTTTGAATTGTGATGCGATCGAATCCTGGACAAGTGCCGTCTCGCGCCAGAAGAACACCGTGCACAAGCTCCAGAACGTGCAAAGATAAATCACTGCTGTGCTACTGCTGTGCTAAGCCAGATCTCCAGGCACAGAGCAGGACCATATAGATGTACGGGTCTTGATGCTTGAAACCGTGCATGATGTCGCCGAAGATAGACGTCGTATATTTGTAGATGACGCCTTTTGATGAGATTGCCTGGTTCGTTCACGCTTCCGAGTCTTTTGATTATGATACTCCCGAAGAGTCTGACACACTTCATGAGCCTCCATCTCCTCAGAGGGTCTGGGTAGGCGTTGCCTCCATTGGGCCCGTGATTTCCTGGCTCTATTGGAACTACGATTGGCTTTCCCAGGTGACGGAGACCCAGGACCGAGACCCACTGAGGACCCATGATTCCTCAAGACGCTGTCACATAGCCTCGGGAGCTGCACACGTTGTGCATGAGGCCCGGGTCGCGGGGATCATACCCGTGGGGACGATGGCAACGACCTCGATCGAGATTGCTGCGTTCGTGGTGCACCCAAGCAAGAGGCTTGCCTTGTCCACATGTCCGACAGCACCTCATGTGTTCACGTGCGCATTCGATAGCTGCAGCTTGTGTGCATGTGCTGCGCCCTTGGCCCACATATCGTGGTGCCCAACTGATCGACGAATGATTGTTCACGCATGCATGAACCAGAAGCGCCTATGAAACAGTCAACATTAAGCTTAATAATCCACGCAGCTGAAGTACTTCTAGAAACCAGGCGAGCCCAGGACGAGATGCAGCACGTTGTAGGGATGTAGGTTGCACCAGTACAAACGTCTGAGCGATACGTCTAAGTCGCCTGTCTTGAGTTTACATCTGACGAGCCCGAATAATCCAGTGAACCGTGAGCACAGGCATGCACATGCTATAAACATGGACGGATGAGACATCGCTATCACCCGAGAGCCACGCATCCAGTTCTGCGATCATAAACTCGAGCATGATCACAAAGAGAGCGGTCCAGTACGACAAAATGCCTCACCTCCGCACCATCGCGTACACGTCGTGAGGAGCAACATTCTGAAGACATTGCCATGTCGTCGGAGAGGCCGAACGGCTCGGTACGGCATCATCTGTTACAAGAGAGTGGTCAGGGTCAGGCGTTGAAGCACCACCTGAGAACTAACCGCCCGTGGCCATCTCTTGAGAGACGTGTTGCGGTGACACGCGAGTGTATTTATTGACAACACACACCTTTTTCGTCGGCGGCTAGGCAGAGGGTGACTGCGCTGGCGATGAATGGCATGAACGGGGGTACCGCTGGGCCGAATGGTTCCGCCATGATGCAGCAGGAGGAGGGAGGAGGGATGCGGCCGAAGGAACTTAAGGATACAGTGGAGACCCATGCCAAGAAACACCGTACTTGCCTCCAGGGTGCCTTGGGTTTCTTTGGTTTCGATGGTTTTGCGATGAGAAGCGTGGCGTTCCCACACCAATTATCGATGGACGTCCTGGGGTCTCAGGGTTGGGTTTCTTGTGTAAGGTGCCTTGTGGACTGGCCTCCACTATAGGGCGGGCGGCTCGGGGGTCAGAACGCTCCTCGAGGAGTCCGACAGCGCACACGGAGAGAACAGCACAGGCAAACGACGAGAAGGCCTGCAGCGATCGGTGTGCACGGCGGCGACGTGTGATGGTTTGAGACCCTGGCTTGCCCCGCGCGCGGGCGCGCACAATAATATCACAATACAGTGGAGGCCCATGCCAAGAAACACCCTGCTTGCCTCTAGGGTGCCCTGGGTTTCTTGGGCTTCGATGGTTTTGCTGTGGAAAGCGTGGCCTTCCACACCAACTATCGAAGGACGTCCTGGGGACGTCCTGATGTCTCAGGGTTGGGTTTTTTTGTGTGGGAGGTTTCTTGTGGTCGAGCCCCTACTGAATATTAAGTGATCAGAAACTTTTGCTGCGTCGGCGGCGAGCGAGGCAGGGGCCGTCTGCGCTAGCGGAAATGCCTAAACTGGGGTGCCGTTAGAGCGAATTGCGCCACCGTGCCGGAGGGGGAACAGGCGGAGGACGCGGCCGAAAGAGGGGGCGGAGGGAGCGAGCCGCTCAGGGGGACGGGTCACGCCCCGAGCGCGTGGCGCAGCCAGCCCCGCCGGCGGGCCCGCAGCGGCTGCTCAAGTGATCAGAACCACACATGCTCACGCACACGCACGTGTCTGTGGAAACCGGCAGCCCCACACGTGTTTGTTGTCCACTGCGTGTGTTGTGTGCCACGGATTGGCGGTTGCTTCCACCTACGGAAGATGAGCTTGATCTCGGTGATGGTGGTAGTATTCGGGTTCCTTAAAACTGGCCAAGAAAGTACCACCAGCACGAGCATCCAGGAGCATCTTCCCTTGGTGGAGGCACCCTCCCCTGCGTTAGTTTTGGTGCCCAGTTCCAGGCCCCCACAGTCTGCCAGCCTGGTGCACATCCTTTCCAGATAGGGTCGGAGTTGACGAGGTCGTAGGATCGCGTGCCTACCGCCGATGCATTGGCGATGTGGCTCGATGTGGAGCCCGATTTTCTCGACCCCAGCGTCGCCAATGCATCGGCGATGCCGCTGGATTGTCCGACCCCGTCTGCTGGGACCCAATTCGGGAGGCCTCTAAAGATTGGCGTCTCCTTTTTGCGGAGCCGATCTCAAAACATGATGCCCGGCTTTGAGAGCTCTTCCTTGAGTCGTCATCGCCTCGTGCCATGGCGATTTTGGGGACGGGATGGGCTCGAGGGTGGTCAGGAGACCGCCGCCAGGGAGCGGGAGACGCACGCGGAGAGGGACCGCGTCGAGAAGTTGCGCCGCACCATGCTGGACCGCGAGCGACAGCTGGAGATGATGGGCAAATGTTCCACCACCACTACAGTATGTAGGACGGGGGAGAGGGGTGGATGAGGAGGTCCTCCTCCTCCTCCTCCTCCTCCTCCTCCTCCTCCTCCTCCTCCTCCTCCTCCTCCTCCCTCCCTCCCTCTCTCCCTCCCTCCCTCCCTCCCTCCCTCCCTCCCTCCTCCTCTCCTCCTCCTCCCTCCCTCCCTCCTCCCTCCCTCCCTCCCTCCCTCCCTCCCTCCCTCCCTCCTCCCTCCCTCCCTCCCTCCCTCCCCCCATCTCCTACTTCCGGTGGCGGTGGTGGATAAGCGGGCCCCGCAGGAGAGCTTCCGGCGCGAGGAGGAGGAGCGCGGCCAGGCCCGGCGCGACGAGGCGCAGCTGCTGGTGCAGATCCTCCACGAGGAGTTTCCGGGGCGGGAACTTTCGGCGGCGAGCGCGCCCTAGGAAGTCACCACCCACCAAACCACCCCAACCCAACCCGAAGGCTCAGATTTACCCTCGATTTCCAGTGGGGGGGGGTCGGGAAACATCGAAAAAACACGTGTGGAACCCTTACCCCCCCCCAACCCGAAATTCGGGTCTTCGGGTTGGGTTGGGGTGGTCTGGTAGGTAGGCAGAGCTTCCGGGGCGGGAACTTTCGGCGGCGAGCGCGGGGGGTAAGTGAGAAAGGGGAAGGCCTTCTCAGAAGGCGGTCGGACTTCTCAGCAGCCCTCGCGCCTTTGAGAAGTCTTCGCTGTCTTCGGGGAAGGCTTCGCAAACTTCTCAGGAGGCCTGGGGACTTCCGACCCTTGTGAGAAGGCCTGCCCCTTCTCATTTCCCCCCCGCGCTCGCCGCCAAAACTTGTCGGAGGCCTAGAGGCTGACACCAACAGCAAGGTCGGCGGTGTGCCTCCACCGAGGGAAGATGATCCTGACCTCGGTGATGGTGGTAACATTCGGCTCCCCGGGTTGCCGAGGTATTACCAGAGCTGAGTTTTTTTTACTCGAGCACGTAACGCGCGTTATGCGGCCCCCAATTGACCCAACCACCCAGTAGAGAACATGACGCCCGCCGCCCGCACATCCCGTTGCAGCAGCGCCTGTTGCTTAGGACAGTGTCCTCATTTAGAAAGTCCGAGTGGCTTGGCGCGATTGTGGTATGTTATGTGCCAGCGAGCCCACCCAGCCACATAACTTGCGTAATGTGGTTTCAAAAAACACTTGGGTTCCCACCAACACCAGCATCCAGAATCGTCTTTCTCCCGTGGAGGTAACCCCTGGTGTTGGTGTTGGTGCCAATTTCCAAGCTTCCCAATTTATACATGACCACCGCCTGGAGGGTCAATTTTCGGGGAACGCGGCAGGCGGTGGATATGGATATATCCGTGGGGGAACGAAAAATGACAAACAACATAACACGCAGGTCCGCACGGATTTCTCGGATCCGCGCTGGACCCCCCTGGCGGCGCCTCCGGCGCCGCCCCTGGCGCGCTCCGCGCGCCAGGGAGGGGGTCCAGCGCCGATTCGGGAAATCCGCGCGGATTTTCGAGTTTTTATGTTTATGTCGTTCTTCGTTCCCCTTAATTATACATGACCACCGTCTGGAGGATCAATTTATCAGGGAAGGTGGCAGGCGGTGGATATGGGTATATTCGGGCCCTCGGGGGCAAAACTGTATATCCATGTCAACCGCCCGCTGGAGCACCAGGACGTCGGTTCCCAGGTGGCGGCTATGGATAAATCCCCGCCTCGCAGAGTTCCCCCTCCCATAGGATGCAGCTCCCGGGAGGTTCGATCAGCATCGGCGCTGGCATGGCCTGATCCAGCACAAGCCCGCTTGTCCCGTTCAGTCTGGCTCGTTCTTGAGCTGGATGTTGCCGAGTCCCGCTCAGTGTCGTGGGCGACAAACATAGCTGCATCCGCCGCCTAGCGGGCCAGGTCCCTTGGCCGCGCCCCCGCGGATACGGGGCGTTTCTTCCGCGGCTGCCCCGCGCGGAACGCATCCGCGCGACCGCGCATCTGCGGGATCGCGCCCCGGAAGCCAGACCGAGGGGGTGCTCGGGGCAATGGTTTCTCGATCCGGCTTAGTAGCCTTGGAACCTTCCTTGCAAGCGCCTCCCAGGAGTCGCTTCGAGCTTGTCTTTGCATCCCCTGGCGGTGGCGGGCGTGACCCCCGGGGGAGGGGGGCGGGGAGGATGGGGCCCGTCACGTTCGTCGCGATTTGCGCCGGCGCCTTCTGGGAGTGTTGAGGAATGTTTCATTCTCACACGGCGCCGCCGCGGATCGTGACGTGACCAGTGGGGAGGGGGGGTTGGCGGGGGCGCGGCTGGTCACCGGCGTCATCGCGAATACGAGCTAAAGCCGTTCTTGCGACCAACGAGGACGACGACGACGGCGGCGACGACGACGGCGACGGCGGCGACGACGACGGCGGCGGCGACGAACCACGACGACGACGACTAGTGACTACCGACGAACGAGGACGACGACGACGACGGCAACCGACGCACGACGAACGACGAACGACGACGACGACGCTTCACGCCATGGCGGGCCCGCGCCGCGACGATCGCGGGCGACGGGCCCGGCCCGGCGCGGACGCTCGATATGCTTGGCGGGCCAGCGGCGGCCCGGCACCGGGCCGACGGCCATGGCAGCGATCTGCGCCGTTCGGCGGCGCTGTTCGGCGATGGTGCCCGCCGGTCGTGGAGGGCAGGTATCTTGGGACGCCCAGGCCCCAACCTGCTTGAATCGCCTCCCTGCTTCAAGTATGGACATGCTTTTGGTATGTTTTCTTCTTCTCTGGGAGGGCCTGCACCCAGTCTACCATGTCCGCCTTCCTTACTCGTGTTTTTACCTACTGCTTCCGACCGACGTGTACGTTCCAAGATTTCCCAGATTTTCTAGATTTCCGATTGTCCTGCCAGGGCTCCAAAAACCAGAGCCGCTGGGTACACTGGAGCTCCTGGAGCACATCCTGAACTAATCGTATCATCATGACATCATCCTCGTCCTAACCCTACCCCCGCTTCCCATCGCTTCGGGCCACTCGATGGGCGGCGGGGGTAGAGTTCGGATGTCGCCACCCAGACCTGCGCTGTCGGGAGGCCGCGGTCGTTCGACGCCCAAGACTAGGAGCCCGCTGGGGGGCTGAGGTGGCCCAGCACTGGGCCGACGGCTAGTAGAGTGTACTTGGGCCGTTTTTGATACATGCTCCGCGTGCGGAGCATGCATTAAAAGTGCAGGGACTCAGTATTGAAGACACCGACGAGTTCACGCATAGGTTTATTCATACATTGGTCATATATATATATACATATGTGTGTAAACATACATATTTATATATAGTTATACATTGAACATCCCATATGGTTTTAACATCCCATGTATTAGAAACTGCCCTGTGGAGGTCTGCGCAGCCGGGAGGCCCGCGAGCCCTCGAGGCCGAAAGTCTGGAGCGCGGTCCGGCACCGGTGGCCCGGCCAGGGCGGGGGCGGGAGAGGGGGGCCCCCGCGTCGCCACGGTGGGCCGCGGCGCGAAGAGTTGTCGGTCTCGGCCCTGGCAGGGGTCCGGGGGCCGATTTGGAGCGCATCTGCCCTCATCCACCCCTCTTGACTTCTTGCGAGGGCCCACGGTGGGCCGCGGCGCGAGGAGTTGTCGGTTTCGACCCTGGCAGGGGTCCGGGGGCCGAGTCTGAGCGCATCTGCCTTCGTCCACCCCTTTTGGCTTCTCGCGAGGGCCGTACGGCCTGGTGCCGCCGACCCTGAATGGCGACGACGACGACGACGAGCGCTCTCGGGGGCCTCTGGGGGGTAGTTGGGGGGCCTCTTGGGAAGCTCTTGGGGGCCGCTTGGAAGCCTCGTGGGGGCCTCTTGGGGCTTCCTGGAGGTCTCTTGGGGGCGTCTTGGGGCTTCTTGGGGGTCTTCTTCGGGATCTCTGGGGGCCTCCTGAGAGCTTCTCAGGCCGAGGGCTCGAAATGTCCGTTCGGGTCCCTCCCCCGTCTGGGCTCCTCCTTGGAGCCGCCTTGGGGGCCTCTTCGGCTGTCTTGGAGGCCTCTTGGTCGGTATTGGGGCCCTCTTGGGTTGTTTTGGGGCTCTCTTGGAGGCCTCTCTTGGAGCCTTGGGGCTGTCCTGGAGCGTCGGGGAGTCGACAAGGCGAGAATGCCGACATCTTTCAACGTTTACGGAAAATCAATGAGTTTCGCCCTTTGGGACCCTCTTGGAAGTCCTCTTGGAGGCCTCTTGGAGCGTTTTGGAAAACTTTTGAGCCGTCTGGAGGCTACTTTGGCGACTTGGACCGATACTTCGGCGATTCGGGGCCCTCGAGAACCGTCTTGGGGGCATCTTGGGGCAGTTTTGCCGCGTCCTGCGGCTTTTCGTGGCCGCCCAACCGCCCGAGGGGGAGTCGTATCTGCCCCCGGGACCCCTCCCCCGGGACCACCCCAGGACCCCCCCTGGGACCTCACCCCCGGGACCCCCCCCCTCCCAGCGGGGAAGGGAGCAAAGGGAAGGGGCTTCCCTTCGACTCAACTACAACGCTGCTCAATTTCGCTGTGGCTGGCGCGCTCGAGGAGAAGAACCCGGTGAAAGTGGGGGGAACGGCGACGGGCCTAGGGAAAAGAGCGGACGCGAGCGGCGAAGGCGACGACGACAACGACCACGACGACGTCGACGACGACGACAACGACGACGACGACGAGTCAAATGGAACAGCCTCTCCCACACGCCGACAGGGTCGGCGAATTTTCTCTGGGCTTCTCCAGCTCAGACCCCCAGCCGCCTCCAAGTCGAAACGATGCACGCGGTGTCAGGCAACATCGCCGACGGCATCGCAATATTGACCTGACATGTCTTGTTTCGGGGCGTAATTGCCCAGTTAGCGGGTTCAACGGCTTGTCCTCCTCCGCCTTCCTTTCCTGCTCTGCTGTTGCTACCCCTCCTCCTTTTCGTGCATCCGGCTTACCATAGCCCCTGAGACAGCATACTTCGAACAATCAGCTGCACCAGCGTAGACTTTTGCACGGTCTTGCCAGCTTCTTGGCGTTAGGTGGCGCGGGTGGTGCCAGAGGCGCCGCCAGGGTGGGTCAGCGCTGGCAAAGGGACTCCGCGAACGTTTTTTACTGTTTTGTTTTGGTTTGTTTTTCTTGCTCAAGCTCGCCTGATACCGTCTCCTCTTCCTCCCTGGATGCCTCCTCCCTGTTACCTGCTACACCTCCGTCGGCAGCTCCGCCGACCTTCCCGTCGCCTGCGTCGACGACGAGGACGACGAAGTACGAACGGCGAACGAGGAACGACTAACGACGACGACGACGACGACGACGTCGAAGGACGAACGACAAACGACGATCGACGACGACGACGAACGAGGAACGACGAAGGACGAACGACAACTAACGACGAGCGACAAATGACAAACGAGGACGACGTGAACGACGACGACTACGACGACGACGGTGACGAAGGACAAAGGACGAGGACGACGAATGAAAAAGGACGAACAACGACAGCGACGGCGAACAACGACAACGAACGATGAGCGACGAACGACTACGACGACGGACGACGAACGACGAGCGACGAAATGAGAAGACGACGACGACGAACGACGACGACGACGACCGACGACCGACGAACGACAAACGACGAGCGAGCGACGCCGACCGCGACGGACGACCAACGACGAACTACGACGACGACGCACGGCAAACGACGAACGAGCGAAGACGACGACGACCGACCAACGACGAACAATGAACGATGCACGACGAACGACGACGACGACGAATGACGACGGACGAACAACGAGCGCCGAACGACGAACGACCACGACGATCGACGAACAACGATCGACGAACGACGATCGACGAACGACGGCGACGACGGACGACTAACGTTGACGACGACGACGATCGACGACGACCAATGATGACGACGACGGACGACTAACGCAGACCTGCGAAGTCGACGGGCGACAAAACTACAAACGACGAACGACGACGACGAACGACGACGACCACGAGGAACGACGAATGACGAACGACGAACGACGACGACGACGACGGACGGCTAAGGACTCACGACGAACGACGACGACGACGAACGTCGAGCGATGACGACGACGTACGGACGACTAACGACTTCGAAGACAACGGCGACGACCGACAAACGACGATCGACGACGACGTCGACCTACGAACGACGACAGACGAGCAACGACCGACGGACGATTAACCACGAACTACGATGACGAGGACGACGCCTGACGTCGAAGGACGAACGACGACGGGCGTGATGAGCACGACGACGAGGGTCGAACGACGAACGACGACAGCTTATTGACGAACAGCGCATGGCGACGACGACGACCACGTCGACGACTGACGGGTTACGACAAACGACAAACGACGACGACGACGTCGAGCGACAAACGACGACGAAGGACGACGACGAACGAGGAACGTCGAACGACAAACGACGACGACGACGACGACGACGTCCGCGACGACGACGACGACGTTGCCGATGGCGACGGCGAACGATGAACGACGAGCGACGACGACGACGACGACGGCGGCCTCGATGAACGACGAACGACGAAAATTGAGCAACGATAGACGACGACGTTGCCGACGAACGTCCACCAGGACGACGATTGTGAGAACAACGAGTACGACAATTGTTTCGAAGTACAAAAGACGAAGCACGACGGGCATACGACATCGACAACGACGACGATGACGACGGTTGACGATCGACGAATGACGGACGACGAACGACGACGAATACGACGAAAGACGACGAACGACGGCGATGACGACGAACGCAGGACGACGAACGACGACGACAACGACGCACGACGAACTAAGAGCGACGAATTACGATCGACGAAGAAAGACCACGACGACGGTTGGCGAACGACAAACGAGGAGTGACGAACGATGACGACGACGGCGACGACGACGACGGACCACGAGCGTGGAACGACGAACGATGAACGACGACGGCGTCGACGAACAACGAACGATGAAGGACGAACGACGACTGCCGAACGACGAACGACAACGAGGACAACGACGACGACTCCGACGACGACGACGACGACGGCAACGAAGGACGACAACGAGGACGACCACGACGGACGACTGACGACGAACTACGACGTTGGCGACTAACGCCGACAACGACGAGGACGACGACGAACGACGAGCGACGAAGACGACGACGCTGACGGACGAAGGACGACCGAGGAACGACGAGCGACGAACGACGATATGCGAACGACGACGACGATGGATGGCTAACGACGAACGACGACGACGACCGACGAACGGCAAACGACGAACGACGAATTACGAGCGACGAACGACGATAACGACGACGGCGATGGTGAACGACGAACGACGAACTACGAAGACCTCGACGAACGACACAGGACGAACGGCGAAGGAGGTCGACGACGACCGACGAACGACTAACGACAAACGATGAACGATAATCGGTCAACGACGACGACGAGGGACGAAGGACGAACGACGAAAAACGAACGACGACGACTACGTTGATGAATTGCGACGACGACGAGCGACGAACGACAAACGACGAACGACGAACATCTACGACGACGAACGACGAATGACGAACGGCGAACGACGCTGGCGACGACAACGAACGACGAGCGACGATCGACGTACGACGACGACGACGACGACGGACGACTTACGAGGAACGACTAACAACGACGACGACGAACGACGAACGACGACGGATGGCTAACGACGAACGACGAACGATTACGACGACGATGACGACGCCGGACGACTAACGACGAATGATGACGACGACCACGACGGATAACAAACGCTATGACGACGACCACGACGTTCAACAAACGACTTACGACGAACGACCACGCCGACGTCGACCGATGAAGGACGTCCGGCGAACGACGACGGACCAACAATAAACGACAACGAGGGCGACGGCGAACGACGAACGACGAACGAGGACGACGACGAAGGACGAACGACCTATGACGAAGACGACGAACGACGCACAGCGCACGGTGACGACGACGACGACGATGGACGGTTAACGACGAACGACAAACAACGACGGCCGACGAACGACAAACGACGAACGACGACGACGACGACGAGCGACGAACGACGAATTGCGAGCGACGAACGACGACGACGATGACGCCGACGACGGACGAGGAACGACGACCGACGAACGACGAACGACTGCGACGATGACGAACGACGCACGAGGCACAACGAACGACGGCGACGTTGCCGAGGACGACGTCCGCGACGACGCCGATGATGGTGACAAATGACAAAGGACGAAGGGCGGAGGACGAAGGACGACGAACGGTGAACGACGAACGGCAGATGACCAACGACGACGACAAACGACGAGCTATGAGTGACGAAGGATGAACGAATTACGAGGAACGACGACGACGACCGACGAACGTCGAGCGACGAATGATGACAACGACGACGACGACGACGAACGACGCACGACGAACACCGAACGAAGACGACGAACGAAAATGATGAACGGCGAACGACGCACGACGACGACGACGAGGACGACGACGACGAACGACAACGACGACGACGATGGCGACGAGGAACGAAGGATGACGACGACGGAGGACGAAGGCCGAAGTACGAAGGACGAAGGACGAAGGGCGGACGATGTACGACGAAGACGACGCCGACGGCGACGACGAACGACGAATGACGAACGACGAACTAGAACTCCCAGGAGGGCCTGCGATACCACCTGCTGCTGAGCCGTCACAGGGCGCTGGTGGAGGTGGCGAGGCTGAAGCCGGGCGGCGCCGGAGGCGACGCGCCCGGTGGCGGGGGCTTCGGAGCGACGCCCCCGAGAGCAGCGGCAAAAGTCGTCCGTGGGAGGAGGGCCAGCGCAGCCCGCGCCCGCCTCTTCGCTGCCCGTCGGAGAGCCTGCTGCGCTGCCGCCGCCGTCGTCCCCCTTCCTTCGCACCGCGCGGACGGGTGCGTTTTTGTCCCAAGCCTCCTTGGTTGAGTGTTCGTTTTGAATAGAGCACTGCGGTCTCCAGTCCTTCTCCTCCTCCTCCCGCCTCCTGTCTCCCGCTCCCCTCTTGTCTTGTCTTACTTTGATCGGACCTCGCCGTCCCTGGGGGGCTGCGATCTGCGACACTGTCGCCACTTTCGAGGGCTGCTGGTGGGTCCTGCGGAGTGAGGCACCGCGGGGATCTGAGCGGGACCTCGCCGTGCCTGGGGTGCTGCGATCTGCGACACTGTCGCCATTTTCGAGGGCTGCTGGTGGGCCCTGCGGAGTGAGGCACCGCGGGGATCAGCGGGACTTCGCCGTCCCTGGGGGGCTGCGATTTGCAACACTGTCGCCACTTTCGAGGGCTGCTGGTGGGTCCTGCGGAGTGAGGCACCGCGGGGATCTGAGCGGGACTTCGTCGTCCCTGGGGGCGTGGTTGGGTATCCGTTTTGAATAGAGCACTGCGGTCTCCAGTCCTCCTCCTCCTCCTCCTCGTCCTCCTCCCGCCCCACCGTAGCCATGTTGGCTCAAACCATTTTGGCTCAAGTCCGTCCCCTCCTCGGGGGTCTCGGACTTGGCCGAACTGGTCACCACAGCTGTTTCGCCCAAGGCCCTCTGGCCCAGCGCCGCGCCGCCACCGTTTGAGGCCCGCGGAACCACATGTCCACGGGATGGCGTCTGCTGCCTCTGCTGCTGACGCTGTTCGTCATGCCGCACCGCAGGAGTGCTGACGCTCTGCATCGCCGTGCTTGCCGAGCGCTGCAAGGCGGTCGCGGCCCAGGACGAGTTGACAAGCGCCAGACACTTCAACTACACGTACTTCTTCCACACGCTGCTGCTGTTCCTGCCGCTTTGCGGGTGATCACTCCGCTGGGCACCTGCATGGGTAATGAGCTGCCGCTGGTCTCGAATTTCCTGCAGTTGATCCGTGGGCGACCTCCTGACGTTGCCCCTGGTCCTGAAGTTCAGCCTCACCGCCCTGCAGATGCCGATGCTGCACCGGCCCATGATGAGCATGCTCGTGCTTGCATCGCCCATGGTCGCCTTCCTCGTCGCGACGCTGAGCTAGAGGTCCCGCGAATCGGCGCTGTGCCGCTTCCTGTCCATGGCGATGGCCCACGTCCACAACCCGCTCTGCTTCATGGCGCTGGGCCTCTTTCTCGGCTTGTCGCTGGCGCTCATGATCCTGTCCTGCATGCCGCTGCCGCCAGTGGCTCCCGCCTACGTGACGCTGGTGATGCACCTGGCGATGGCCCATGTCCACAACCCGCTCGGCAGCATGCCGCTGGGCCTCTTCCTCGGCTTGTCACAGGCGCTCCTAACCCTTCTCTGCGTGTCGTTCCCGCTGTTGGCGCCCGTTTTCGTGATGATTCTGTCCTGCATGTCGCTGTTGCTGGCGGCGCCCGTACTCGTGTTGCTGGCGATACTCTTGCTGCTCTCCGTCCGCTTGTCCGCGAATGGCATCGAGCCGCACGGCGTAAGACGCTACTCCAGAACAGGCCCTTCATCCGCTGCTTCGGCGCGTGGTTCGTCCTCGTGTTCGAGTCTTCCTTGTCCTCGGAGAGCGACCCGCCAGACGAAGTTTGCGCTGAACATGATGATGCTGCCGCTGGTGGCGAACAGGTGCACGACGACGCTGCCGCGTGTGGCGAACAGTCTGCTCTCGAAGTACATCCTGTTGCTGACCACTACAGTGCTGCAGCTGGAGGCGAACAAGTGCACGTCGACGCCTCCGCGTGTGGTGCACATCCTGCTCTCGAAGTATATCCTGATGCTCTTCCTGGTGTACGTGTGCTCGACGGCGTCCAAGACGCTGCCGCTGGTGTGGATAGTGCTGCTGCTGCTGGCCCTCGGCGAGTGCTCGATGGCTGTTCCGATGCCTGGGCTGCCCTTGGGGCGCCGCACCTTCGTCGCCCCGATCTGCTCCAACTCAGATGTTGCAATCTGGCTCTCACTGGTCTGGTCGATTAACTTGTGCGCCGTGCTGTCGCGCCTCATGACGATGCTCGTGCTGTTGCGCTGCCTGGAGTGGCGTCCGCAGCCCATCATGCAGCCCGCGACGTCCAACCACATGGAGCTGTCGTCAGTGGCGAACTCCCCCCCAGGCTGAACGGAATTCGCATGCCCGTGCCGTTGGGGGCGTACGTCCCCGTCTCGATGATCACGTTCTGCATGTCGCTGCCGCTGGTGGCGAACAACCTCGCGCCGATGAACGAGACTCGCATGACGCTGCCGCTGGTGGCGAACGAACCTATCGTGAAAATCCCGACCTGCACGGTGCTGAGGACATTGGTGTTGAGGCGCGCCCTGTGCATCTGCATGATGGTGCTCGTCCCGGCCTCTACCCGAACTGCTTCGACGCGCGTGCGCTGGAGCTGAGACCCCTTTCTGAGGCCATTCCCGAGACCAGCCCCGTCGGTGTAGCTAGCCGTGTGCACTCTGCCTTGCACACCCCACTCCGCCCCTCCCCGTCGCCTTTGCCCCCGATCCCGCCATTTCCTGCTTATCAGAATGCTCTGCGTGGCAACGCGTACATGAAGCCCACGGGCGCACACTCCTCCGCATTGGCCGCAGCGAGCAGCACAACCACGAAGTCACAATACGAGCAGAAGAGTTGCAGCGCAGCTGGCAGGGAGCAGGAGCGAACTTCTTGCCCTCTTTTCGCTTCTTGTCCGTTTGCCCTTGCCTCTTTTCTTTCCAGGTGCGTCATCTTCTCCTCTCGCCTCCTGTCTCTCGCTCCCCTCTTGTATCCTCTTGCTTTGTGCGGACCTCGCCGTCCCTGGGGGGCTGCGATCTGCGAAGCTGCCGCCACTTTCGAGGGCTGCTGGTGGGTCCTGCGGAGTGAGGCACCGCGGGGACCTGAGCGGGACCTCGCCGTCCCTGGGGCGCTGCGATCTGCGACGTTGTAGCCACTTTCGGGGAATGCTGGTGGGTCCTGCGGGGTGAGGCACCGCGGGGATCTGAGCGGGACCTCGCCGTCCTTCGGGGGCTGCGATCTGCGACGCGGTCGCCATTTTCGAGGACTGCTGGTGGGTCCTGCGGGGTGAGGCGCCGCGGGGATCTGAGCGGGACCTCGCCGTCCGATCTGCGACAGTGTCGCTACTTTCGAGGGCTGCTGGTGGGTCCTGCGGAGTGAAGCACCGTGGAGATCTGAGCGGGACCTCGCCGTCCCTGGGGGCTGCGATTTGCGACGCTGTCGCCACTTTCGATGGCTGCTGGTGGGTCCTGCGGAGTGAGGCACCGCGGTGATCTGAGCGGGACCTCGCCGTCTCTGGGGGGCTGCGATCTGCGATGCGGTCGCCACTTGCGAGGGCTGTTGATGAGTCCTGTGCAGTGAGGCGCCGCGGGGATTTTTGAGCGGGACCTGGCCGTCCTTCGGGGGCTGCGATCTGCGACGCTGTCGCCACTTTCGATGGCTGCTGGTGGGTCCTGCGGAGTGAGGCACCGCGGTGATCTGAGCGGGACCTCGCCGTCTCTGGGGGGCTGCGATCTGCGATGCGGTCGCCACTTGCGAGGGCTGTTGATGAGTCCTGTGCAGTGAGGCGCCGCGGGGATTTTTGAGCGGGACATGGCCGTCCTTCGGGGGCTGCGATTTGCGACGCTGTTGCCAGTTTCGATGGCTGCTGGTGGGTCCTGCTGCGGAGTGAGGCACCTCGGGGATCTGAACGGGTCCTCGCCGTCCCTGGGGGGCTGCGATCTGCGACACTGTCGGCATTATCGCGGGGATCTGAGCGGGACCTCGCCGTCCCTGGGGGTTGCGATCTGCGACGCTGTTGCCAGTTTCGGGGGTTTCTGGTGGGTCCTGCGGAGTGAGGCGCCGCTGGGATCTGAGCGGGCCCTCGCCGTTATTGGGGGGCTGCGATATGCGACACTGTCGCCACTTTCGAGAGCTGCTGGTGGGTCCTGCGCAGTGAGGTGCCGTGGGGATCTGAGCGGGACCTCGCCGTCCCTTGGGGGTTGCGATCTGCGACAGTGTCGCCACTTTCGAGTTCTGCTGGTGGGTCCTGCGGGGCGAGGCACCGCGGAAATCTGAACGAGACCTCACCGTCCCTGGGGGGTTTTGGAAAGCTGCTGCGGGATACGTTCGGCGCAACGGGCGCATGGCACAGCCAACGGGGGTGATTTGTGAAACGGACCATCTGCCGGGCGATGGCCACAACGTTGCGCTTACACGTGTCCCGCGGGGGCTCTCAAGAGCTGCGGCGGGATACGTTGGGTGCAACGGGCGCATGGCACATCCAACGGGGGTGATTCGTCATTACGTAGCCCTTACATCTTGATCGGGGGCCTGCGAGCCTTCCGACTGCTGCTCGCAAAATCACATGCGTCCATGTTACATCATCGCCCCCGTTGTAGCAATCCTGATGCACGTATGCCCCGCATTGCGCAGGGGTTGGGTACGTCGCCGGGGTAATTTCTTCCTCGGTGAGGACCATCGGGGAGCAGTCTGGGTCCTCTTTGCAGCGAATGAGCGCGCCCGACGCCGAAACACGCGCGGGGAGGGGACGTCCGAGCGATGGCGAGCTTCTTGGTCGCTCCTTTCTGCCTGCGAGCCCTCGGTGACCGGGCTTCCGCCCTCTGCCCCGAAGCTGCGGGCGCAGGGGCCAGAGAGGGGCGGTCGAGGCCCAGGGGACTTCCTCGTCGCCACGGCGGGGGACTCCCCGGGAAGGTCCGGTGGAAATGCGCCCGTGGGCAGTCGGGAGCCTTGAGATGGGGGTCGATGCAAATACGGGGGTCAGCCAGATCTTGCAGGATCCCGCAGGGCCAGGGTCGCATTGACCCGGGTTTGGGTGCAGGGTCCTGCAGGGTCCCGCAGGATCCCTCGCGTTGATCCGAATTTGCGGGTCAGGACCTTGCAGGATTCTGCAGTGCCTGACTGACCGGGGTCTGGACTGACCTGGGTCAGGAAATCCCCGAGGCAGGTCCAGGGACCGATTGTTGAGGAGCTTGGTGCGCTCCGCGGCGAAAGAAGAACAGCGGCCGCTACCGCTTTGGAGCCACATCCGAGGTCGGGTCTCGCTCCGATCTTCTCGCCGCCCTCGCCCGTGGGCAGATCTGGGAACCGGTGTTTGATAAGGAGGAGGCGGAGGAGAAGAAGGTGCTTCTCTTTGTTGCCTGCTCCTCCTCCCCCTCCTCCTCCTCGTCCTCCTCCTCCTCATCCTCATCCTCCTCCTCCCGTCCTGCTTCTCCCCCTGATCTCTCTCTCTCTCTCTCTCTTTCTCTTTTCTGTTTGCTTATCTCCATATATATATAGTGAATACATATGCATGCCCCTCGCGACACCCATCCAATTCCGTAGAAGCACAAGCAAGAACCCCTAGTGCAAGCACTGTGTAAGGAATGTGCGAGACCGGCGCCCGTGGCGCCTTCTGCTGCTTGTTGCGCTCCGCGGCGCAAGAAGAACAGCCGCCGCTGCCGCTTTAGGGCAACATCTGTGCTTGGGCCTCGCTCCGATCTTTTCGCCGCCCCCGCCTCGCGTGCCCAGACGGATGTTGTTCTTATTTTTCCTCGGGGGCAACGATCGGGGGGGCATAGGCATAGGGGGGAAGCATCGACCCCCAATCGCCTATTGATCGCCGATAGGGGCCCGATAGCCTCAACCTGCCCAGGAAGGTGCGGATTCACTATCGGAGGCCTATCGCCGATCTATCGGCGATGTATCGCCGGTTCCAGGTCGATGTTTCTCCCCTATCCTTATTCCCCCCCTGTCGTTGCTCTTCATTTTTGCACGAATCCATGTTGGAAGCTCGTGCGTGCACGTGCTGTTTGCTTCCCAGTCTCATGTTTGCCCGGTACCACGGTGCCGACGCCCCCGCTGGTGACAGCTACAGGTCAGGAGGGGAAAAAACACACAGAGACAATGAATCGTCGATTCCCCAGAAAATATAGGAAAATATGGGAAGTGGGGGGGAAGACAGAAACCCAGAAAATATAGGAAAACATGGGGGATCTGGTTATTTGTGTCTCTTTATTTGTGTGTCCCAGTTCCTCTTCATACAGGTCCGCGCGCGGTACGATGTCCGATGTCCCGCGGCGCCGCCGGGCGCCTCGCATGACGCAGTCCACGACGCCTCGTGCGCAGCGTCGCCGTCGTCGCGCCCGGAAGGCTCAGCCTGCCCAGCACGCCCGCCGCCCCCACGCGTCCCGTGCCTAGCCGGCCCCCCGCCACGGTCGGGGGTGGACAGAACCCCAAACCCGGACGAGAAAGTCGGGCCGAACGACAGGGGGGAGGGAAAGGGGGGGTTACGAAATCTGCTGCATGCAGCTGGTTTCGGCCCCGCCGCCGGGCCCATTCCTCGATACATGGGCGCCTCCCGGCGCCGGGAGGCGCCGGGACAGTCAGCTACGTGAGCTGATTCTCAATTTCCCCCTTTGCTATCCCCCCCTCTCGCCCGACCGGATCCTCCCTCGCAGACAACGATCACGCATCGTCTGGATCAGCGATCCATTCTCTGGCAGACGACTTGACCAGAAGTCTAGTCGTCATCGAATGGTAATCTAAAACGACGCGAAGATCGGGCCAAAATCGGGTCGGGATAACTCGAAATCTCTGAGAATCGGCGGGTTTGGAGGATGTATTGGGCGCCGCGGCCGCTCCAGAGCGTTCCAGAACGCTCTGAGAGCGCTCCGGAACGCTCTGGAGCGATTTATCCCGATCCTAGCCCTGTTTTATAATCACGTGAGCTTGGGAGCTGCGTATTTGCACTGCAAGACTTTGGTCGTCTTCTCATGCGAATCTTCAACTAGATTCTGCGCGGAGGTGCCGGGGCCGCTCGGAGGGCCCAGGGCGCGCGAGGGGGGGGAGGAGGAGGACAGGAAAAACAAGAAAAACAGGAAAGCAATGGAAAATAAGGAAAAAGAGGGAAACAGGAAAAACAGGAAGAACATTAGACAGACAGGAAAAACGGGAAACACAGGGAAAGCATGAACATCAGGAAAACAATTGCCGTTTCGCATGGGAAACACGAGGAAGAAGCTAGGAAGACCTGTGACTGTCGGTACTTTTATGGCGCAGACGTCCCGCACATAAAATCCTTTTGTAGCAGCCTTTACAAAAGGAGTCCTATTTTGGCGACCTTACACAAGGATTGGGGACCTGCAGTGGCCTCCACACTTAGAATCCTTTTGGAACAGCCTTTATAAAAGAATTCCTTGTGTGGTGGCCTTACAAAATGGTGGGAATGGTGGGGGGATCTGCACAAAAGGGCCTTTACAAATGGAATCCTATTGTGGCGACCTTACACAAGGATTTCAAGTGAGGAGGTTCTGCAGTGGCCTCCACACTTAGAATCCTTTTGCAACAGCCTTTAATTACAACGGGTATCCTCTTGGCGGCGTTACAATATGGTTTTCATTGTGGGGGATCTGCAGGGGAAGCACCTGAAGCCCAGGAAAGCTAGAGAGGAGAACCGGAAACACAGGAGAAACATGGAACATCTTGTGTCTTCACATGAGAAAGTAAGAAAAAGCGAAGACTACCTGTGACCTTCGGTACTTTTATGGCGCAGACGTTCCACAATCGAAATCCTTTTGTAGCAGCCTTTCGCAAAGGATTCCTTTCGTGGCGACCTTACACAAGGATTTCAAGTGAGGGGGATCTGCAGAGGCCTCCACACTTAGAATCCCTTTGTAACAGCCTTTACAAAAGGAATCCTTGTGTGGCGGTCTTACAACATGGTTTTCATTGTGGGGGGATCTGAAGTGGCGGCACTTTGAACTCAGGAAAGCTAGAGAGGAGAACCGGAAACACAGGAACAGTATGAAACAACTTCTGTTTCCAAAAGGGAAAATGGGAAGCAACTAGACCTGTGAGTGTTGGTACTTTTATGGCGCAGACGTTCCACAATCGAAATCCTTTTGTAGCAGCCTTGACACAAGGAGTCCTTTTGTGGCGACCTCACACAAGAATGTCAAGTGAGGGGGGATCTGCAGTGGCCTTCACAATTAGGAAGGGAATTCATTTGTGGTGGCCTTACACAGTGGTTTTCATTGTGGGGGATCTGCAGTGGCGGCACCTTGAGCACGGGAAAGCCAAAGAGGGAAAAGACAACTACAGGAAAACATGGAAATATTGTGTTTTCAATGGGAAAACAGGGAAAGGATATGAATACCTGGGACCATCGGCACTTGTATGGTGCAGACGTTCCACACAGAAAATCCTTTTGTAGCAGCCTTTACAAAAGGATTCCTTTTGTGGCGACCTTATGCAAGGATTTCAAGTGAGGGCGATCTGCAGTGGCCTTCACACTTAGAATCCTTTTTGAAGAGCCTTTACAATGGAAATCCTTTTGTGGCGGCCTTACACAAGGGCTTTCATCGTGGGGAGATCAGCACAAAAGGAATTACGTCGTAAAGGCGGTGCCAAAAGGATTCCAGGTGTGGAGGCCACTGCAGGTCCCCTATACTTCAAACCCTTGTGTAAGGTCGCCACACAAGGAATCTGGAACGCCTGCACCGTAAAAGTACTGATTGTCACAGGCCTTCTTAGTTTTACTTGTTGTTCCATGTGTAACATATGAGTTTTTTCATGCTTGTCCTGTTGTTCCTGTTTTTCTCTCTAGCTTTCTTGGGTTCAAGGTGCCGCAACTGCAGATCCCCCCACAATGATTTTTTGTCAGGCCGCCACACACGGATTCCTTTTGCAAAGGCTGTTAGAAAAGGATTCGAAGTGTGGACGCCACTGCAGGTCCCCCACACTTGGAATCCTCGTGCAATGTCGCCACAAAGGGAATCCTTCTGTAAAGGCTGCTACAACATAATTTTCATTGTGGAGCGTCTGCACCACTAAAGTACCGACAGTCAAAGGTATTCCTAGCCTTTTCTTCCTATTGCCCCATGTGACAACACAAGCTGTTTCATATTTGTCCTGTTGTTCTTGTTTTCCTCTTTAGCTTTCCTTGGTTCAAGGTGTCGCCACTGCAGATCCCACCATAATGAATGCCCTTTTCGTAAGGCCGCCACACAAGGAATTCGTTTGTAAAGGCGGTTACAAAAGAATTCTAAGTGTGGAGGCCACTGCAGGTCCCCCGCACTTGAAATCCTTGTGTCAGTCGCCACATAAGGAATATTTTTGGAAAGGCTGCTACAAAAGGATATTGGTTGTGGAACGTCTGCACCATAACAGCACCGACAGTCACAGGTCTTTCTAGCTTGTTCCTTTTTTTCCTGTGGAAACAGGCTTTTTTCATGTGTTTCCCGTGTTTCCTGTTTTCCTCTCTAGCTCTTTCTCGGGCTAATGGTGCCGCCATTGCAGATCCCCCCACGATGCCAATCCTTGAGTAAGGCTGTCACAAAAGGATTTCCATTGTAAAGGTTGTTTCAAAGGGATTTTAAGTGTGAAGGCCACTGCAGATCCCCCTCACTTGAAGTCCTTTTGTAAGGTCGCCACAAAAGGAATCCTTTTGTAGAGGCTGCTGCACAAGGATTTTCAGAGTGGAACGTCTGCACCATAACAGCGCCGACAGTCACAGGTGTTCCTAGCTCTTCCTACGTTTCCCTGCTCAATTGCTCAAGGCGTTTTTTGCCTTGTAATCTGCGCTTTTCTTGAGCTTCGCCGCGCAGGCTTTCGTATCCTTCTAAGGGTGTCCAATTTGAGCTGACTCGAGCAGCCGAAACCTCGGCTTGGCGCGACGAAGATTATGAATAAGAATGCGATGATATAGGAATGGGAGGACTCAGATGAATGTAGGTGGTAGGAGGGGGATGGTGACGAACAGCGCAAAGCAGATGATGTAGACGATGATGATGATGCTGCTGCTGATGATGATGCTGATTCTGACGCAGACGATGATGATGATGATGATGGTAATGCTGATGATAATGATGATTGTGATGCAGATGATTACGATGAACATTATGATGATGATAGTGATGATGCTAATGCCGATGATCATGGCGATGTTAATGCTGATGGTGATGATGATGATTATGATGATGTTGGTGATGCTGATGCTGCTGCTGCTGCTGCTGCTGATGATGATGATGATGATGATGATGCTGATGATGATGATCTGATGATCTGATGATGAGGATGCGCAACTTGCGAGCGAGGAGGGCCCACAGCTTTCCCCTCTCCGCCCTGACACGTCGATTCGTGAATTGTCAGTTTTCGGTTCTCGAGAGGGCGCCGCAGCCGTCATTTTCCAGGCTTGCTCCCGCCAGGTTTGGGCCCGATGTCGTTTTCACCAAACCACGTTTTATTCAAGGGGGTTCTGTCCATCCCCGAGCTGTTCTCTGATGTTATGCTGCCTTTGCGCTCGGGGTACAAGCTGCGTAAACATACACTTTCCGCGCTGCGGCGTTCCACATGGATTTCTTGGATCGGCGGTGCGGCCCCCCTTTACCAGTCTGGAGCAAATCCCTGTCCCTGTGATTGGCATCGCCTCATCTCGATGCCGATCTTAATTAAGATTTGCACATCTCTAAGATTATCATCGCCCTTTGCATTTTGGCTTGTCAATCTCGGGGGTAGGGATCAGCTCGAGGCTGGTTACCGCTGCCGGGGCCTCCAGCGTCTGGCGTCACCCCTGGCGCGCTCCGCGCGCCAGGGAGGGGGGCCCAGCGCAGATGCAAGAAATCCGCGCGGACCCTCGACAGTGTATGTTTATGCAGATGCTTCTTTGGAGCATGTGTTTGAGCGTTTGTGAAGATCATCTGCGATGCTCGGTCGGCTCTGATGGTTCTCGGACGCCTCCAGAGTTCTCTTGAGTTGCTTGCGCGACCCGGGACTTGTCCGGACGTTGTGCAGGTATCCGAAGGTTTTCCCCGGCTTCCAGAGGGTGCCCAGAGCTCTCCACTCAGGTCACAGGGGGCCGGTTTGGGATCGGTCTTCCTCCCGCTCGTCCTCCTTCTGCTCTTCATCCTTCTCGACTCCTCCCTTGTCAGCCTCCGCGTGCCTCCGCCTCACTCTTGCTGGGGTCACGCGGGAGGATACCTGACTTCTTCGGACCCGCTGCCCGGATTTCGAAGATTTCCGAAGGAATGGGGGAGGGCGTGGAGTCTAGGCCTCCTAGATGGGGTCCGAGTAGATGGGGTCGGAGGATCGCGCCGCATCGCCGATGCATCGCCGATGCTGCTCGATGTGGAGCCCGATTTGCTTCATGCGGGCGCCGCCGATGCATCGCCGACGTCGCCGATGCATCGCCGGTGCATCGCCGATGCATCGCCGATGCATCGTCGATGCATCCCGATGCATCGGCGATGCGGCGCGATCCTCCGACCCCATCTACTCGGACTCCATCTAGGGGGCCTCCAAAGACCGAGGTCGATTCGGGGAGTGTACCCTACTGTCCTTCGTGTTTGTTGGATGATCTTGTGCATCCTGGGGAGGGTACCCTTCGATGTTCTGTTTGTTTTGGCCGACGCAGGGTGTCGTGCTCTTGAAGGACGTTCTTCTGGCCTAGGTCCGACTGTACACAAGCGGGCGGTAGGCAGAACAGGGTGGCCGCTGAGCAGGAGGAGGGAAGACAGCACGGCCGGTGCTTCGAGCATCCTGGCCCTCACCGAGCAATCGGACTAGAACACAACACGCGGAAAGGATGGGTTCGAGAGTTCCACTGGTTATTGCATGACGCCGTGGTTTTTGATCACGGCGCCCGATGTTTGGAAGGGAGGATCTGCGGCCACACTGCGACCCTCAACGACGCTACCACGCCATAAAGTGGCAGCGCGTTCAAAGCGCCCATTTTCTTTTGTACGCTGCTTCTTTCGCAGAATTGGCTCTGCCATCATCATCACCATCACCATCATCATCATCATCATCACCATCATCGTCGTCATCATCATCACCTCATCATCATCATCATCCTCATCCTCATCCTCATCCTCATCCTCATCCTCATCCTCAGCAGCATCATCATCGCCACCATGATGATGATGATGATGCTGATGATGATGATGATGCTGATGCTGATGATGATGATGATGACGATGATGATGATGATGATGATGATGATGCTGATGATGATGATGATGATGATGATGATGATGGTGTTGATGATGATGATGATGATGATGATGATGATGATGATGATGATCATCATCATCATCATCATCATCATCGTCATCGTCATCGTCATCATCAGCATCAACATCAACATCATCATCAGTATGGTGTTGCTTCGTAGCGGGGATCCTCAGCGAAAGGGGGCCCGACGTTCTCGGCCGGGAGGCAGAGAGGAGGAGCAGAGGAGGAGACGGGGAGGATCACTGACCAGGTCCACGCGCGGGCCGCCATTCGACAGTACTCCGCCTCCTCCGCCTCCTCCTCCTCCCCCTCCTCCTGCTCCTCCTCCTCCTCCTCCTCCTCCTCGGGGTTGGCATAGGCGCTGTCCAACGGGGAACGCCCTTCTCCTGGGGCACCCGTCGGCTCGCAGACTCTCACTGGCGGTTGGTGGCCAGGGACCCCCCCGTGTGTCAGCTCCTCCTCACGCGGAGGCCACATGAGTGGTATAACCCCAATATACCTATACTATATGTTCGTCGCCCCCTCAGGGGCGACGCGCGCACCGAGAAACCTTATAGTATATGCGTCGTGGCGGGCGCTTCCTGGCCACACCGCTCGGGAAACGACATACTACAAGATGGGTATACTATATGTTCGGGTCGGACGCGCGCCTCCAAGGAGGACATATAGTACTAGTATGTCCATGTGCGTCCCATGGTACCCCAGAGTGGGACAGCCCGTCCAGAGGGCGCGGAGGATTCGCAACGCCCCAGAGTGGCTGCGGGAGGACGGGGGGCGGTGGATGGGGGAGGGGGAGTGGGTGGGGGGCGGGGGGCGAGCTGATGTCGGGCATGTCCCCCTACGGGCGGGTTTCAGAAGAAGCATCAGACATAGCCAAAACCATGTTCAACAATTCGTATAATCGTCCCCAGGCTATTTTTAGACTATTGTTGGATATTCCTCCTGTAGAGGGATACGCCCGACTTCAAGCTAGGTGCGCTCGTGTCATATCTAACCCGTGGTAACCCTGCGCAAGGGACAGGTTTTCGCTTAGGTGTTGTTTCCACATGGTGCTCCCGCTCAAGCGCTGGCCCCATTGCTGCGCCTCTGGTTGTTCCAAATCGTGCTCCCGCCGCAGCGCGGGCGTTTTCGGCGCTTCGAATAGACCCCCAAATCTAGAAAATGGCCACTCGAAAAAAACCATCGAAAGTGATTACACATTCGGTGTCAATTCGTAGATTTGTTGGGCCGCAGGACGTGTCAAGCGGGAGCCCCGTTGCTGCTTTGAGAAGGCGATGTTGAAAGCAGAGCCAGCGGGTGCGTTATCAGCCCCGCCTTGTGTGGAGCTTTTCGGGGAACCCAAGGAGCTAGACATGGAGCCACGACTCCAAACCGGCCCAGGCGACTCGAAGACGATCCACTTACCCTCCAAGGAACCCGGCGCCATAACATGACATGCTGTGCGGTGTTGTGTTCTGCGCCGCTGTGCGATGCCATGCTTTGCGTTGCAATGCTTTGTGATGCAATGCTTCACTGCGCAATGTCACGCCATGCTATGGCATGCTACGCTCTGCCGTGCTCGTCTACGCCATGCCATGCCGTGCTCTTCTAGATGTTGGGGTCTATTGGAAGCGACGAAAACGCCCGCGCTGCGGCGGGAGCACGACTTGGAACAACCAGAGGCGCAGCAATGGGGCCAGCGTTGAGCTGGAGCAACATTTTGAAACACAACCTACAGCGAAAACCTGTCCCTTGCGCAGGGTTGCCCCGTCTGGTCGCCTCGTTTTGGGCCCCCTGGGCAAGAGATGGGGCCTCCTTGGGGATCCTGGGGGCACCTTGGGCAAAGCAAAACACCCAACACACACACACACACCCACACCCACACGCACACACAGACACACAGGCACACAGGCACACGGGCACACATACACACAGACACACCACACACCACACACACCACACACACACACTTACACACATACACGCACTTACACACAGACACACACACAGTGGACAAAAACACGCTGTGGAACAAACACACAGATTGTGGAACAACACACACACAAACACAGAAACACACACACACACAGAGGGGAAGGAACACATACAGCGGAAACACACTATGGAAACCACACGCTGTTTTTGTTTTGGGATTGTTTTCCCACTGCAGCACCCGAGGGAGGAGCAGCGAGGGAGAGAGGAGCGGAGGAGGACTCGCCCGCCGCAGGCCCCGTGGGGGAGGGGCCCAAGAGCAGGCAGGCAGGCCCTCGCTGGCCAGGCGGCCAGGCGAGGTGCTGGGCAGGAGCCCCTCGGTCGTCGACAGCCTCGGTGGCAACGACAGGGACTCGGCATCGCTCGGACGTGTGCCTGTTATTTCCTCGTCGAGGAGCATCGTGGAGCATCCTGGGTCATCTGACACAAGAGGCACGCACGAGACCGAGACATGGCACGGGGAAGGGACGTCCGAGCGACGGCAAGGGGAGGGGGTGCCCGCCCTGGGGGGAGGGGGGGCAGAAGTCGAGCCTCAGTTGCCCACATATCGCCAATGGAGCCCTTGGCCTCACCACCCCGCCGAGGAACGTAGCGTCTGGCCATCGGGGGCCCATCGCTGATCTATCGGCGATGTATCGTCGATCCTAGGTCACTGCCTTCCCTGAGCCAGCACCCCCTTTCTCTTAACGCTCCTCAGAACCCGTTCTCGAGTACTGAGCGACGACGACGATGCTCAGACCTTTCCAGGGGCTGCGTTCCGGCTGCGGTTTCGACGGGAGCCCAGCCGCGGCGACGGGGAGCCGCCACGAGGCCCGAGCGCGACGACGATACCTCAGGCACATGCCGGCTCGCTGCTTGGGCCCCACCGCCAGCCCAGACCGCGGGCATAAGCTAGGCGTGGCCGCGCAGAAGCTGTCAGGGGTGCGTGCCGCCCACGTGATCTTTCCCGTGGTCTCTCTCTGTGTGCCCGTGGCGCCTGCGCGGCCCGGCTGCGACCGGTTGCGCGATCCATAGGCTGAGCCAGAGGTTTCGCCGTTCACGGGTGGCGCGGTCCATGAGCTGCGCCACAGGGTGTGCCTGTGGGGCCACATGCGAACCCTACCCCATACCCCCCACGATTTCTGAGGGGAAGGGTGGGTTTCACTTCGTTCGCCTCAGAACTCGTGGGAGGCAGGGGCAGGGTTTGCCTGTGGCCCCCTGTGTGCCATCCATAAGCTGCGCCATTCATCGGGCCATCCGTGGGCTGCACGATGGGTCACGCCACCCACGGGTTGCGCCATCCACGGGCTGCGCCACCGACTGCGCCACTCACGGGCGGCACCACGGGCTGCGCCATCCATGGGCTGCGCCACGGGATGCGCGATCCGCGGTGTACGCCCTCCGTGGGCTGCTCACTGGGTTACGCTGTCCGCGGGGTTGCGCCACAGGTTGCGCCATGGGTTGATCCGTAGGCTGCGCCGTCCGCGTGGTGCGCCACAGGTTGCGCTGGTTGCGCCGCAGGCGGCGCACTCGACGGCCGATGAGACTACGCGTTTGTTTTGCCGAAGGTTGCGCGCTCGGCGACCGAGAATGCCACTGTCTGCTACCGGTCGCGCTGCTTTCGGTTGCGCCGCTGGTGGCCCAGTCGGCCCAAAGAAAAAAGGCCCGCCCTCTCACTGCTGCGCCATAGGCTGCGCACTCGGCGGCCGATGGTAAGCTGGCCCGCTCACCGCTCATGGTCGCGCCATGGGTTACGCGCTCGGCGGCCGCAAGTAGAGCGCTCGCCCGACGGTCACTGCCAGCCAGTCGGATGCAGCCCGAGCTAGTCTGCGCCTCGAGGAACACATTGCGAAAGCCTTGCCGCCGGTGCCGCCGACCCTGACGGGGGACGACGACGACAACGACAACGGAGGCGGCGGCGGTAGCGACGACGACGACGCTGAAGTGGGCCAGGGGGATGCTTCTTTGGGTCTCTTCGGAAGGCTCTCGGTGGCCTCTGGGGAGGTAGCCTGCGACTCGAGAGACACACAGTTGGCCTACGTTATCCTGAGATCGGACGTTGCAAAAGACTGCAGCACTGCAAAAAATCACATTCGGAGCCCAGGGCCCCATCGCTCTGCAGCATTCTTCGAGCCAGATGGATCTGTGATGGTCCTGGGGCCCGATCCTGGGCGAAGACGCACGGTGTGGGCAAAAATGCACCGCTCGGATCTCTGCGGTCCTGTCCTGTCCTCCTCCTCCTCCTCCCGTTCCTCCTCCTCCCTTTCCTCTTCCTCCTCCTCCTCATCCTACTCCTCCTCCTCGCAAGACAGGTTGCGCATTGCTCCATATTCTCCTCGAGCTCACCGCTGCCGAGCCTCGATCGGCCAGCGGCGGCGGCGGCCCGGGATTCCGCCGAAGGCCCCCCGGTGGCCGCGTCGCCGCTCGGCGCCGCCGGCGGCGGCGGCGGTGGTGCGGCCGAGCCCCTGGCGCCGGCGGCCGTGGAGCTGTGCCGTGCGGGGGTGTCGGGTTGGACGGGAGGTGGGGATCGAGGAGCAGGGTGTGGGGGGGCGGACGCGGGGAGGGGATCGAGGAGTGGGCGGGGATCGAGGAGGAGGATCGAGGAGGATCGAGGAGGAGGAGGGAAGGGAGGAGAGAGTAGGGAGGAGGAGGAGGAGTCGGATGAGGAGGAGGAGGAAGAGGAGGAAGAGGAGGAAGAGGAGGAGGAGGAGGACGAGGAGGAGCAGGATCGGGGAAGGTCGAGGAAGAGAGATGATAAAAGTGGGGGGTACGACATCTGCTGCGTGCACCCGGTGTCGGCCCCTTGGCCTGGCGCTTTCCTTGATGCACATTGGCGCCTCTGTTGCCTGGAGTCGCCGGCAAAGCGAGGTATTTGAGTTGATTCGCGAAAAGGCGGCCTTTGCTATCCCCCCCTTTGTCGGGCAATTTGTTCGAGAAGGAGCTCGGCCACCGCGTGGCCAAGGCGTGGGCGTGCTTTAAAGAAGTACATATTTTCACGCACATGCGGGGCTCTTTGAGGCGAAAGCTGGAGTTTCTCGGCATGACTATCAAGGCGACTTCACTAACGGGGTCTGGAGCTTGGAATCTACTTGCCCACCAGGAGTTGCATATCTCGGGAGTGCAGCGGCGCACAATCAGAACAATCGCTCGCATTAAATTAAGAAGTTCTCTGGCGAAGAAGTGGGCGAATGCTGCGAGCGATGTGAGCATCTGGTCTCCAGAGTGGGGCGATTTCAGGTTGAATCGTGGGACATCTAGGCGCTGGACACAGTTTGAATGGGCAGGCAAGTTGGCCAGACATGACGCTTCGGACATCCAACGGGTCACCTGCAAAATCTTACGCTGGATGTCGATGTCCCACTTGCGTGACTTTGCGACGAAGCAGTCCGGATGGCAAGGAGTCAACGACGTTTTTGGGCATGGATGTGGGAGAAAGAAATCTTCAATTGTTTCACCCAGCGAGGATTCTCATGGACAGACGTGGCGCTCACCAGTGTGTCCTACCAGGCGCATCTTGGCACGTGTCTCACCTGTTGCAACCTACCGTTTTCCAAGCGAGGAGTAGACGCGCGGCGTTTCCCACGCGGACCTGCGAACGCCAGTCACCCGTAACTGTCCGACCCGAGGGTGGGGTCGCTTGACACCCTCTTCTTCAGAGGGCATCGCGGCGTAAGATCTGGGATGGTAAGCCGGCCCCTGAACTTACAACCGGTCTTTGCGAAGAGGTCGACACCTTTTGTAAAGCCATGTCGTCACAAGAGCCACGACGCCAGATGTTTGAGTCAGGGGCATCTACTCCAGGGGACGATGAGATGCTGATGCTGGTGCTGAAGATGATGATGTTGAAAATGATGATGGTGATGATGATGATGATGATGATGGTGGTGGTGGTGATGATGATGGTGCTGCTGCTGCTGCTGATGATGATGATGATGATGATGATGATGATGATGCCGTTGATGATGATGCTGATGTTTGGGTCAGGGGCATTTATTCCGAGGGATTGGCTCACGGGGCGAGGCATTTGCTCCCAATCGCCCATTCTTCGCCTATCGGGGCCACGGTGCCCCAGCTTGCAAGCGGGAGCACGGGGTTTCACGAATAGACCTGGGCCTAACAGATATCGGTTGGCGATACATCGCAGATTCCAGGTCCGTATTTTCCCCGTGAGCCCGTTGGGTGGGCGTGTGACAATGGGGGGCCTATCCCAGGTTTTGTGGAGAGAGGGGCCGCCGATCACCGACGATGCACTTTCTGGGATCCGTATGTTGCCCTGGTCATCGCGGCGCGCGGTTGGATAACCTTGAGAAGGACTGATCGGCACTCCCCCCCCTTTCTGTCGAAGGGATACCACTGCCGCCCCTGACAGTGAGATCCCCGTTCAAACGAAAATTTGGATCTCGCCTTAGCGCCGCACGCACTCGTCTTAAATATTGCGAAGGCCTTACGGCCGATGCCGCCGACCCTGGAGACAGCGTTCTGTCATTGGGGAGAAAGAACAGCGTTCTGTCTGTGTGGTGTGGGGTGGTGTTCTGTCGGCGGCTTCCTAGTTTGTTTTGTAGCTTCCTAGGAGTTTTTTTGGGGCCTGGGCCTCTTGGGGCCTCTTTGGGCTTCCTGGGGGGCCTCTTGGGAGCTTCTCGGGGCTGAGGGCTCGAAATGTCCGTTCGGTTCCCCCACCCGTCTGGGCACTCTCTTGGAACCGTTTTGGGGGCCTTTTGTGCATCTGGGAGGCGTCTTGGGCCGTCTTGGGGCACTTTTGGGTCGTTTGGGGACCCTCTTAGAGGCCTCTTGGGCCGTGTCGGGGCGATCTTGGGAACCTCTTGGGCTGTCTTGGCGCGTGGGGAAGCGGGAGAGGCGAGAACGCCAAAATCCTTGAAAAACGCATGGGAAATCCATGATTTGTGCCTCTTGGGGCTCTCGTGGGAACGGTCCTGGAGGCCTCTTGGGGCGTCTCGCAGGCTTCTTGGCCGTCAAGGCGTCTTGGACAGATCATTCGGCGATTCGGGGCCCTCTTGGATCATCTTGGGGGCCTCTTGGGGCACTCTTGGCCGGTCTTGGGGCCTTTTTGGGCTCCGGGATTCCCCGGGAGGGCGGCGCATAAACCCGGGACCCCCCCCGCGGGAGCTACCCCGGGACCCCCCCCCCCCTTCCAAGGGCAGGGATCAAAGGGAAGGGGCTTCCCTTCGACTCAAGTGCGACGATCTTGGGAGAGGGGTAGAAGCAACGACGCTGTGGGGAAGGAAGAAGGAACATCGACGATGACGAAGAGGGAGCAGACGGAGAAGCCTCTTCCACACGCCGACAGGGTCGGCGGATTTGCAGCATTTTCGCGGATGGAGGGCGGGGCGTTGTCAGAACTTGGTTATCGCCATGGCGTCGCGCACATTCGTCTTCAAAGTTTGCAGCACCTTCACGGCTGGAGGGAGGCGCAGTTTTTTAGAATGCGGTTATCGCCGTAGCGTCGCACGCCTTCGTGTTCCACGCCTGCAAAAGAATCACGGACGGAGTTTTCGTTGGTGTTTCAACATGTGGTCATCGCATTAGCGTCGCGCACATACGTCTCAGACAGTTACAACAGCTTTACAGTTGGAGCGCGGGTTCCGTTCATAATGCGGTTCTCACATCAGCGACGCGCGCATCCGTCTTCAGAGTTTGAAGGAGTTTGACGGATGGGGGTTGCGTGTTTGTTTCAAACTGTTCGCCTCGCCTCGGAACCGCGCGCGTTCGCGAAGAGCTTCAAGGATGGACGGCGGGCCCGTTGCTCGAGACTGTGGTTCTCGCCCCGGCGCCGCGCACGCTCGTGCGAAACGTTAACAACAACCTCGCGGACGGAGGACGGGTCCTGTTCATAATGTGGTTTTGAATTGGAAAAAAGTCGACGGTCAAGGAAGTTTAACGGGAATCCCCCGACATTAATGGCAACGTAGATTTTCAAACATGGCCAATACAATTGAGTTAGACATGGCAGCCAGTCCTGATTAGCGTGCTTTAGCCACCAACAGGCAAAACGTACACGCAAGCATTAAGATTCGCACATACGTTGGATCTCGACGCGAGCAATCTTGGCGCTGCGCACATTCGTTTCGAACGTTAGCAAGAGCTTCGCAGACGGAAGGCGGGTCCTTTTCAGCATGTGGGTCTCGCCCAGGCTCCGCGCACGTCCGTGCTAAAATATCAGCACGGCTTCGCAGATGGAGGTGGTGTTTCAAATTGTTGTCTTCGCCGTAGCGCCGTGCACATTCGTTTTCAAAGTTTGCTAGGGCTTCTCGGATGGATGGCTTTTCTTCGGGATGTGGTTTTCGCCCAAGCGCCGCGCGCACTCGTCGCCAACATTTGCGGGCATTTCACGGACGGAGAGCGGGTTCTTTTCAAAGTACGTGTATCGTTTTAGCGTCGCGCGCTGGTTTAAAACATTGGCCAGCTATTCACGGATGGAGGGCTGGTCGTTTGCGAAATATGATTCTCGCCATAACGCCATGCACGTTCAGGTCCGATGCTTTCAAAGGGCTTCGTGGATGCAGGGCGGGTCATTTTCAAACGTAGTTTTCGCCGTTGCGCCGCGCGCATTCGTTGTAGTCGTCTGCATGCGTTTTGCGGATGGACGGCGGGTCTTTTTCCAAATTCAGAGGGCTTCAGCGTGAAACATCGTATTGACACCACGTGTGTGCCGTATTGCTCGTGCGCTCGCTCTTGCGCGCAGTACAAACACCAATCCAGAATGACCATCTTAATTTCGAAAACTGAATGGTGAAAACAACTTTCGCCCACTCGAAACCTGAAGGTGTCAACGTTGGACTATGTATGTACAGCGCAGTGCCCTCATTGTTTGTGCGCGCACGCGCGAGGGCGCTCGCTCTCGCGCGCGCACTGCAACATCCAAAGCGAATTGTCATTTTAGGGCATTGATTCACTCGTATTCTGAAGGGCCCCAGCGTGGCATCATTCAATAAGGAACGTGCACGGTGTCACGCTGCGCAATTCCACGTTGAGGTCTTGTACACTACGAGCGAAATTGCCACCATTTATTTCTCGATATTAAGCTGTCCGTGCTGTATTGGTTGTTGGATTGCGCGCGCCAGGGCGAACGCGCGGCAGGTACTTTAGATTGTCATTCGACGCTGGTATCTGTAGATTGCACGTGCAAATACGCGCAAGACTTTGCTTACTTTGTGCCACACTATGTTATGTCATGCTGGGGTGTTCAGGACGACTGAAACAATTGGTTTTCATTTTTTCAGTTTCCACCGCTAATTTGGCCATTTGCGATTGATATTTGTATTGCGCGCCCAATTACAAAACAACACTGTGCCATACTAGTTCCACAATGCCATATTGTGGCACAGAGTACGCTATCATGTCGTGCGCCCGAGCGCTTGTCGCCGCAGGGGCTCGGTGCTCCCAGATTAGTTCACACTTGGTCCTCGAGCAATCAACTCACCCAGCGAAGGCTTCAACATTGCTACTAATGACGTCGAATCTTCAGGATTCCTCATTTGTTGAGAAATCATCTGCCCCCGCCGCTCCAGCCCCGAGGAATTTCGGAATGCGGGCGCTAAATCTCGCCATCGGTGCGGACGAGACGATAGTCCTAGGACTGGGGGGTCCTTCAGGGCCGCCGAGAAAACTCAAAAATAGAAGTAGTGGCGCAATTCGAGCCGCGATGGTTCGTCCAGGCGGTGAGACAGGCACTTCCCCAAGAAGGCTGGGAGAAGCTAAACTCCCTGTGAGAAGCATTCAGAATCCGCTGGAATCGTGAGGACACCTGGGGCCCACAGTAAACCCCAGGAGTCCCAAGAAACCCGCAGGAATCTTCCCTGGATCAGGCAGGGATGCTCAGGAATCCTTTTGGAGTCGGCACGAGTCTTTCAATCATTTTCACAAATCTTCAGGAATCCTCCAGGAATCCTTCAGGGATCCCTGGGAATCCTCAGGAGTCTCGCAGACACCAACAGCATCCCGAATTACGAAGGGAGGGGAATTCGCGGGGGGACATCTGTGGCCAGGAAGGCGCCTTGGTTGCTGCGTAGCTCGCGCTACAGGCAGCGCGCCCCTTTCGGTACGCGACTGCATGCGGCAAGACGAAGCAATGTGAGCACATGAGGGCCAAGGCTGCCCAACCCGAGACAGTCCAAGACGGCCTGACCCAAGATATTCCCAAACAACAGATTTAGCCTTGGAACGGCTTGACCCTAACTCGGCCTGACCTCCGGGACACCGACGAGATCCTCACGAACGCCCCGGAATCCTACGGGCCTTTCGGAACCCGCAGGCACCTGGAACTTGGCAGGGCCATCCAGGAATCCTCGCAAAAGTCGCAGGACTCCTTCCATAATCTTCAGAACTCCTCCTCAGGAATCCTTCTGGAAGCGCCAGGAGTTTTCAGAAACTACCCAGAATCCGCCAAAACTCGCGCAATCCCTTTTTCTGTCCTCTAGGCATCCTCCCGGGATCCTTCAAGAATCCTCCAAAAATCTAGAGGAATCTTGAAGATACCGCAGGAACTCCCGGAAGCAGCAAGCTCACTCGCCCAGACATGCTCCGAGATCCTCTCAAGACCTCCGCAAGAGGCCTCAGGATTTCCCGGGGCCGCAAGGGAGACGCCACAACCCGGCGTGTTCTCGAGTCCATACGCGTGTCTTTGAGCGCCGTGTGAAGACAGCGTAATGTGATAGGGATCGTGTCCTTGGAAATGCGGGCGCAGCGCCACCCACACAGTGCAAGCAGTGTTTTTCACGAAGGATCGTGGCCTTCGGAGCACGGGCACCGCGCAATGTACCAAGAGTTGTGGCCTCGGGAGCGCGGACGCAGCTCAATTTACGAGGGGCCGTGGCCCTGACAGCGTGACCCCCGTGTAGTGCCCGAAGGATGCCTGCAGGTGGCTGAAAGATTCGTCAGGATTCTTTACATAAGGGCTCCTGAGGTTTCATGGGGTTCCTGTGGCTTCATGGTATCCTCAAGGATTCTTGTAGGTTTGCGGTCGACTCCCGGAGTATTCGTGAGGATTCCTTCGGGTTCCTCAAGAGTTCCTCAAGGCTTCCTGTGGCCCTTTCATGCTCTGGAGGATTTCCGAAGCTTTCGGAGGAGTCCAGCATGATTCCTGAGGGATCCCTGAAAGGATTCCTGCGGATGCCTGCCTGTTGCTGAACGATCCCTCGTACATTGCGCCGCGCCCGCGCTCCCAGGGCACGATCCCTGCAAGTTGCAGGGCGCCCGCGCTCCCAGGGCCACGATCCATGGGACATGTCGGTGCTCGGGCACTCCCACGGCCATGATCCGGGCCTCCCCCCTTCCTGCCCCTCGGGGATGACTCAATGCATGCAGCGTGCCAACAGATCTCGGGGCGGGGGGGGGTAATTTCGGTGGTGCCCCCCCTCCCAAACTGATTTATATATATATATATATATATATATATCGATAAGCGTTGGAGATTGTTACACATCGGCCGTTGAAAGAAGGTATTGCTGGTCTCCCAGAACCCAAACTACTTCAAGCACCTTCCTACTTCAATAATCGATATGCCTCTGCTGCGTTCTGTTACGCTCTGGGCGGGCCCACACCCAAGATATGTTCACCGCCTTCCTACTTCATGTTTCTGCCTACGTGCTTCTTCCGACCGATGGGTAAGTAGTTTTCAAGGTTATTCGCGTAGAGATTCTGTTCCAAACGCACCCAGGGTGGCTTGGGTTTCGCACGGCTCGGTTCTGGCGCTGCTTTCTGGAGCGGCCGAGGAGGAGGAGGAGGATGAGGATGATGATGAGGAGGAGGAGGAAGAGGAGGAGGGGGAGGAGGAGGAGGAGGAGGAGGAGGCGGAGGAGGCGGAGGAGGAGGAGGAGGTCCAGGCGGGTGTTCCTCAGGGCCGCCGTGCAGAACATCTGTTGTGGAGGAGCGGCCTCGGGCTCCCGGGCCCCTCCTGAAGGAACCTGCAGGGCAAGCCTCAGCTCCTCCTCCTCCTCCTCCTCCTCCTCCTCCTCCTGCTCCAGGCTAGAAAGCGACGAGCACGCGTTCGCGGGAGGGCGGCGGCTGGGGGAGATAGTGGTGGTGGGCGGGGGTGGGTTGGGACACGCGCGCTCGCAGGGGGCCCAGGCAAATCACTGGGTACAGTGGAGACCCATGCCAAGAAACACCCTGCTTGCCTCCAGGGTGCCCTGGGTTTCTTGGGCTTCGATGGTTTTGCTGTGGAAGGCGTGACGTCCTCACACCAAAAATCAAGGGACGTCCTGGGGTCTCAGGGTGCTTCTTGTGGGAGGTTTCTAGTGGACTGGCCTCCACTGTAGTAAGCCCCCTTCTCTCTTTCAGCTCAGGCAGGGGCTAGCAGGGTCTGAGTGCGCCGGAGCCGCGTCGACATCGGCAGCACCTCGGGCGGAGCCAGGGGATCAGCTGCTGGCCGAAAAAGCGCTCGGGGGTTAGATTGTTTCCCGAATCGAAAAATTAAACAACAACTGCTCTCCTCTCCCTTCTTCCCCTCGGCGGACTGAGTGAACACAAGCGCAGTGGGAAGGGGTGGGTCGGAGGGGTAGGATGCCAGACGCGCCGCGAGCACATCTAGCCTGTCCTCGTCCCCCCTCTCCTCCATCCTCTATCATCCTCCTCCTCCGCTTCCTCCTCCTCCTCCTCCTTCTCCTCCGCCGCGTCCTCCTCCTCCTCCTCCTCCTAACTCATCAGTGGGATGGTTGGGTGGGTTCATGGTCAGGGAGGGACTCTCGCCGCTGCCTGTCTCTGTGCTCGGTGGCGCGCATCGGAAGACCCGCGTCCCCCAGGATACCCGCACTCCTCCCCCCTTCCTCTCCCTCGTTCTATCCCCCCCCCCGCCCTCCGGACCCGGCACGCCCCGAGGAGCCGGCGGATCCGCGGGTGTGGAGCGTGACCGTGGAGTACGAGCACCTGCTGAGCGTGCAGCGCGACCAGCCCGGAGCCCAGACCACTCGGGCCGGGCGAAAGGGGGGGATTGGGAACAGGGGGGGTTACGAAATCTGCTGCATGCAGCTGGTTTCGGCCCCACCGAGGGGCCCATTCCTCGATGCATAGCCGCCTCCGGCGCCCGGAGCTGATTCTCACCCCCCTCTCTTTGCTATCCCCCCCTTTCGCCCGGCCCGCACCACGCTGTCGGAAGCCGGGCGAGGGCGGGCAAATCCGTGGCTGCCAAGACGGTTTTTTCACGGAAGAGCGCAGCACATTCCCCGAAGAAAGCTCGGCGCGCCAGATGGTAAGCAGGCTGCTTCCCGGAAGGAAAACAAATCCCGGAGCTCCGCTTTAGCAGCCACGGGTTTGCCAGCCTTCGCTTGGCTTCTGATATCAGCAAGGAGGACGGTTACAGCCGAACCGAGGTATAAGATCGAGGTCGTTTCGGGGAGGGTACCGTAATGTTTTTCGTGCTTCTAGGCCTACTAGATGGGGTCGGAGTAGATGGGGTCGGAGGATCGCGCCGCATCGGCGATGCATCGCCGATGCAGCTCGATGTGGAGCCCGCTTTGCTCCACGCTGGCGTCGCCGATGCATCGCCGATGCATCGGCGATGTTACGGATCCTCCGACCGCATCTATTCCGACCCCATCTAGGAGGCCTCTAGTTTCGGTGAGGGTACCCTCATGTTTTTCGTGCTTGTCGGATGTTCTTGTGCATCCCTGGGGAGGGCACCCTTGAATGTTCTTCCTTTTGGCCGGCGGAGGGTCTCGTGCTTCTGGAAAGATGTTCTTCTGTTCTAGGTCCGACTGTATTGGCACAGTCGAAACCGGCACTGAGGTTGGGCCTTTTCCGCTTGGACACGTTGCCTCTTTTTGCCCCGGCAATCCTTGGCATTTTTTCGGGTTTCCCGGCCCAAGTGTACCTATCCCGATGTGTCCTGGCGCGTGGGGTGCAAGGATACTGCCTGGCTCGGGTCCATTGCATTCTTTGATTTCTCGAGTGTCTGCGTCTTTTTCACATTTCGGCGCGTTCCAAGGGTCTTGCATCCTCATCGCTGATTTCGACTATCCTTCTCGGTCTCTTGAGATTACCGGGCCCTGGGGCATCGAAGATCAACTCGGGGTCGCGACCCCCGGGGTCAATATTGTGGTGGAATCACGGCGTCGGGGTTCAGGGGAGGGAGGAAGGGAGGATCCAGTCCGCCCGAGTGGAGTCCGCGTCGATGGCGTCGGAAGATCACACCGCATCGCCGATTCGTCGTCGACGCTGCGCGATCTGGGGCCCCATGTTCTCCATCCCGACGTCGTCGACCCATCGGCGATTCTCCGAGCTTTCTTGTTCCCGTCATGGGGGCCTCTTGGGTGTGTGTTTTGAATGTGTGTGTGTGTGTGTGTGTGTGTGTGTGTGTGGGCTCCGCCCCCTTTTTCGGCCGCGGGCTCCGCCCCCTTTTTCGGCCGCGCCCTTTAGCCTCTCCCCTCCTCCTGCATGGTGGCACAATTCGCTTCAACGGCACCCCCGTTCAGGTAGCCCTGCGCCAGCGCAGTTAATCCCGTTCCCCGGATAATAAGGAGTACCCCCCCCTTAACCCCTGAGTGGTTATTATCCCCGGGTCAGACTTATTTAATCGCTTCGCTCATTCCGCCGGCCCATATTGTCGCACAGTTGTGGGCTAGCCGAGTTTTGGGGCCTCTTGGGGGCCGTTTTGGGGCCTCTTGGGGCCTCTTTTGGGCCTCTTGGGCGCCTCTTGGGGCGTCTTGGGGGCCTCTTGGGGGCCTCTTGGGGCCTTTTTGGGGCCTCCTGGGCGCCTTCTGGGGCGGAGGGCTCGATTTTTCAGTTCTCGGTTCCCCTCTTGAGCCCCTCTTGGGCCCGTCTTGGGGCCTCTTGGTCCGTCTTGGGCGGCACTTGGGCCGTCTTGGGGGCCCTCCAGGGCCGTTCCGGGGCCGTCTTGGGAGCCTCATGGGCCGTCTTGGAGCGGTCTTGGGGGCCTCTTGGGCCGTCTTGGAGCGTCCGGAAGCCGAAAAAGCCAGAACGCAAAAAACAGCGAAAAAAACAATGAAAATCAACGATTTTGGCCTCTTGGGGCCCTCTTCGGAGGCCTCTTGGAAGGCCCTTGGGGCGTCTTGGAGGCCTCTTGGGCTGTCTTGGGGCCCTGTTGGGCGTCTTCGGGCGATCTTTGGCCGTCTCGGGGCCCTCTTGGACCGTCTTGGAGGCTTCTTGGGGGCCTCTTGGCCCGTCCTGGGGCCCTGTAACAGGGCTCCGGCATCTCTGGCCCGACCTTGCGGGGACCTTGCCGGGGACCTTGCCGGGGACCTTGCCGGGGACCGGCCGGGACCTGGTCGGGGTACTTTTCGTCTGGGGACCCCCAGGGGCCGCCCCGCGCGCGCGAAGTAGAAACATTGTAGAGCAGTTACCGGAGATCTTAGCACGCCTCTGGCCCGTTGGGCCGGCGAATTTGATTTTGGAGAGGGGCGGCGAGGCCGAATTTGATTATCGCGGGGGGAAGTTGCGAATCGAAATTGCCATCTTCTAATGCTGAATAGCACCCCCGTTCAGGTACCCTGCCTACCCGTCAACGCAAAAAGTGTAAGTGTGTGTGTGTGTGTGTCGTGTGTCGTGTGTCGTGTGTCGTGTGCGTGTGCGTGTGCGTGTGCGTGTGCGTGTGCGTGTGCGTGTGCGTGTGCG